AGCTTCCACTGTCTTCCCAGCAAGCACAAAAGGCCCAGGATGCAGAACAGGTGTGTGTGAAAGGCACCTCTGCACCAACAGTGATCATCTTTAGGTGTTGTAGTCACTGCCTACACCCAAAATGGTTCCAATCCCAGAAGAGAAGAGCCCTGGCAGTTCCCATTTGCTTTAATAGCAGCCACAAGGTTTGCTGATAAAGTAACTTTTATTCTTGCCCCATTGCTCTTTGTTGGCTGTTCCTGAAGCCACCTGGGAGGGAAAGTCCCATTGTGCTGTTGCACCCCGTTAAGTTCACTACTGTCATTTGTCCTGTGCTTCATGGGGTTTTGCCATAGACTTCTCTTCTGCTGTATTTTGCATTTTTAAAAGATAAAGAGGTCACAAAGACAGGGTTAGTAAGAAATTTATTTCTTCCTGCTGAATTATTTATTCCTTTTTAAGCTCTAGTGAACAGCTCATATTTAATAGCCCATTACTGCTTAGAAAGCTGTCAACACAAAAGGAGCAATCCTGAAAAGGACTGTGTTAGTGGCTCTGTCAATACTCTCTGTACCACCTTTCCTTCATTTTTATGATCAAGAGCATAGAATGGAAGGACAGAAATGACCTGAGCTGCAAACTTCAGGGGACTTTAATCTACCAACACTAACAACCAAGTAAATTAATGCAGGAACTAGATTTTTTTTTGCTATGAGGGTATTTTTCTAAGTGTATGGATTCTGCACTAGTTGACATCTTCAAATTAAGACATGTTGTCTTTCTAGGACAATTCTTCATCTCATCTGCTGGATTGGGAGGGAATGCTGTAGCAGTGGGTGACATTTCTTGCCTTGGTTTGCGTAAGTGGCTTGGCTTATATAAAATTGCCATTCTATAATGGCAATTTTGGGCCTTCTGCAATTCTGGCCTAATTTTGATCCTTACCTTCTCTCTATTCCATGAGCCCCCACAGAACTGGTTTCCCTGAAGCATCTGCCATATCCTGAAGCAATCTCCAAAATACTGATTTAGACGTAGATTTGGATTTCGGAACAACAGTGTGGTCTTCAAATCAACCATGAAAGATCTGAGGCTCTAAAACACTCATGTCTAGAAAGCCATCTTCTATTGTTGCTTATTTCTTACCAGATACTTCATCAGCACTGAACACTGAATTCTGTATGTTTTCTGGATTATTTACATGTCTAAAAGAGTCGTCTTGTGAAAAGCAATGAACACACCTCCCACTTTCCTTGTTACACCCCTTTGGAAAATTGTCCCTGGCATCTACTGCTCATCTTCCCCTACAGCTCTCATCAGCTTTATGTTATTTGAAGCCAGCTTGAGCAGTCAGACCTTTATGGACAGATAAAAGAAGTAGTTCTCTGAGTAAGTGAGCTAATGAGGCCTCAGTTTCTTATGAATTTGTGGCTTATGTTGGATTCACTGATATTTGGTAATAGCTGGGTTTGGAGGACAGCTTTACAGTTTCCCTCCTTTCTTTAGCCATGCTCTTTTAAGATACAACTTTTGAGAAACTAATATTTTCAAGTTTTCTAATGTCTGCTGGAGTTCTGTAGCATTTTCAAATGGTACTAAAGGGGTTGGGAGGAATGATGAAACAGGGTAGATGCAGATGCAGACACACACTGTGATGTCTTTTGAAAACCAAACCAGGTATTTTAGGTTCATTGTACAATCTTAATAATGTGAACTACATTTTCTCCAGACAAGGAAAAAAGTCTCTGAATATAACAGAAAAAAGTCTGGTTTTGTGATTTTGTGCTACCTAAGAGCCTGTCTGGATGAGGGTCAAATATTTAATATTTCTTATGTAGGTATATTTGAAAAACAAGCTAGAAAACACCGTGCTGGTGGCATGGTGTGTTGCATGGTTGTGTGTGTGTGACTGACAGACAGACAGCTGCTGCTTCTCAGGGAGATTCAGTCACTGGGAGTCTTCTGCCAAAAAGCACCAGTCAGGAGAACTTACTGAAATGAATCTGTGTGGTCAAAAAGAGACGAGCTATTGCCACAAGTTTGTATGAAGATATGTAAGAGAAGAGCCAGAACTGAGAAAAGTATTTTTCCTTTGCTACTGGCTGTTCCCAGTTGAACAAGGCATCCAGATTTTTTTGTGCCATCACGCTGGTGCTTAAATAACTATGGGTATGAGGGAGCATCAGCACAGCAATTCTGACAATTATCCTGTGGTTAAACAGTGGGAAATAGTGAGCGAGTAAAACATCAGTGTATTGGTCTCTCTGCACAGTAAACACAGCAACAGTGGAAAAAAATTGTGTTTTGGGGTTTTGCTGCTGACATCAGTGTGAGCTGGCAGGCAGTTCTTCACTGACACAGCTCGTGGTATTGCTGAGACAAAATTATGATGGACACAGCCTTTCTGTTGCCCTGTTAGGACATAAGAGCTGATAGATAGATGTTTTGTGTTTGTAACCTGTTCTCCTGTTTGTGAGCCTGCTTCCAGTGGGTGGGACTGGGATTTGCGAACACCTTCTTGCCTGACTGGCACCAGGCAATCAGGCCTCACCAGGTCCCTACTTTTTGGGGAAAATATCCCACTCATCTACTTTTGTTCCGAGCCACTTACGAGCAGTTCTAGAGGTGGAGAGTTGAGACTGCCTTTCTGGGAACAAGGACAAAAAATAGCTCACAGTTAGCATTCCAAACCCAGCTATTTAGACCTGGATTATTTTTAAATACTTTGCTTTCAGACACGTAGCTGGCTGTGTTTTCCTCCCCTCTCTCCTTTCTTTTTTTAAAGTTAGCAGTCAAGTTTTGCATCTCTCCTCACCCAGCTGTATGCAATCAGGAGTTTCTAAGCAAACAGAGGTTTATTTACATTGCTAAGTTAGCTATGTTACCTGCTGCCTCAGAGATGCTGTTGGCCACAGTGGCATCCTGGGGACCTTTTGAGCCTGGATATGTTTGCAGAGCAGTTTCCTGGCCATTGAATTGGCAGAAGGCAGGGCAGCAACAAGGGGAAAGCTGCAGCCCCCTCATTTCACCTGGCTGCCATCACACATCATCGGTGTGAAACACGGCCCTGCATGGGGTGCCAGGCAAGGCTCAGCCATGGCAGCCCCCTGCAGTGTGTGCGTCCTGGAGCTCAATCACAAAGCCTTTCACCAGGAGCTCTGTGAAGGGGTTGTGGTGAAGTTCTGCTGCTCAGTGTGTGCTGTCTTGCACCACTTCATGGTGGCACACAGGGCTTTTGGAGTTCTTGGCAATCACTGCACCGACCTTGTCACATCCTCTGCGGATGATGCAGGCCCAACAGGGGACACACATCCCCTACCAATGGCAGCTGCACAGCCTAGGGGAGTCCCATTTTGGGCTAGCCCCACCTGGTACCCATCAGCCTGTTGTTGGATGTTACAGACCCTGATGTCTCACACATCCCATGGTGAGCTGGGTTCAGAAAGACCCACTGCTCAAAGTGGTTTTGGTAACCCATACGCGTTGCTGGAGTCCAGCCTGGTTTAGATCAAATAAAGCTCTTGGGCACTGAGGCCTTCTCTTGCAGGAAAGAAGGAGCAGATTCTCTCTTGCCTTCTACACAGCAGCTGGTTTATAAAGCTGATGCAGCTTGCTGGGCAAATAAATGTTTAAAAATTGCAAAACCTGAAACATTGGGCCTGTCATCTACAGGGATTGGTGGGGAAGGTGGAGTTAGAGAGCCCAGATAAAACAGAGGAGGGGAGTTCCTCACACTAGGACACATTCATGGCATCCCCTCATGTGGTGTCTTGGCTGTGAAGGCTGAGCTCCAAGAGGCTGTTGAAGGTTTCCTGTGGAATTGGGGCTTTTGGGCAGTGCAAACACAGGGGTTATACTGGGAGCAGGAAGGATACGGCAGGGTCTTCTAGCCCATTTTATCAGCCCATTTTCCCCCTGTGCCATGAGGGTGGCCTTAGGAGCATGTTGGTCCTGCCCTTCCAAACTGCACTGTGACTCTGGGCAAACTTTTCTTTGTTTTCCGAGTAACCTGAAAGAGATAGGAAAATGTGGAGATGCTTTACAGGAAATGTGTACAATCCTTAAGGGGTTTTCCTTACCTCACTAACTGCTCACCAGAGAAGAAGCAGACCTTGTGGTGAGGGATGCCCACCCAAAGGTTGGGTTAACACTGCTTACTGCTATCCAGAGCCCTGCCTCTGGCTGCGCGTGGGGAGAGAATAAAGCCTGTAACTCGGGTAGGAGACAGTCATAGTATCTGTTTGTAAAGGGTAAGAAAGAACTGCTTGTTGGATGGATATAAAAAACTCTTTAATTCCAGCCAGGATGGTCTAATTAGCCAAGCTGTGGTAAAGAGCAAAGTACCACCAGTACAGGGATGCAGGAAGGCTTTTGGGGACACAAATGCTGGTCTTTAACCTCAGAGAGCAGCAATGGGTATCCTACTGATCAAACTGCAAGGCTGATCTTAATGCCATTTTAAAAAACCAAAATCACTTACATGTGCTGTAATAGGAAATAAGGGTGGGAGTGACTGGTGTGATCTCTTGCTGTTTCCTGCAGCCAGTGCAGCTGGTCTTCCTCCACACAGCTCAGATTAATGTTGATGTGTGTTGTGATGGTGTAACTCTGCGGACAGCAATGGAGTTGCATTTATGAGACTCAAAAGCCTTTAAAAAAAATAAAAAGAACAGTTTCAGGCACTTGTGCTGAATGTTAGGCACTGAATGGACCTAGTGAGTAGCTATTATCCTGATAGATCCTTGTAGGCAGGAAGATGTTGTACTGCCTGGATTCACTGAGGAGCAGTGTCCTGCTTCCCTACAGTTTACAAATACTGAAAGTCAGCAAATCAGTAATTGTAGCTTCAAACTAATATAGTTTGTTTTTTTTTTTCCCCTGCTTGGCTTTCTGGAACGCCATAAAAAGATCTGGCACACTGCATAGGATTAGGTGGCTTTGAAGCAGCGGAGCCATCTAGGTGTGGAAAACTTTGATTTCCTGTGTCTTGAAATTAACTGTAATCAATCTTTCTGTTTCAGAAAACCCCCACAGCTCATGCCATGAAGGAGGAGAACTTTCTTCGTCGCAGGTTCTCCCTCTGTCCGGCCTCGTCCACCCCTCAGAAGGTCGATCCTCGCAAGCTGACACGCAACCTGTTCTTCGGGGCCGACAACGACATCTACCCGCTCAGCCCAGGTGGGTTTCTGGGGTGTCAGTGCAGAAAGCAGCATGCCTCAGGTGCTTGACTGCAGGTAGATATCTCAGCATGCTGCCAGAGAAACAAGAATGTGAAAGAGAAAGTGAGAGAAGGTGCTGCAACACAGCAGTTCTGGATCCCAAACAGTGCTGCTTCCATGATGCTGCTGGTTTTCATAGTCATGCCATTAAGTGGGAATGGAGGGCATGAGAATTGGGGTTTGTAACTGATTGAATGCTGCATGGCCTTACATTTTAAAAATTACTATAATGTTTTCAGGCACGTCTACTTTAAGTCACTTGATGTGTTTCACCCTGAGTGTTGCACTTGCTTAAAATTTACTGTCCCCATTTGCAGATGTTTAATGGCAGGTTTCCCTCTTCAGATTTAGAGCCCAGGATAAATATCACAAGAGCAAAATTTCTGTGGTTAATGTTCTGTAAATATCTACAAGCACTACAAGTACCACGAATCTTGACATGTTGCAATGAATGGCAAACTAGCTTTAAGCATTCTCTTTACTTTTTTTTTTTTTAGCTTTGAATTTCCTAGCACCTTTCTTGAAGGAAAAAGAGCTCATTTTATTGTTTCAGAATTCGTTGCTCACAGTAAACATTGAAGTCTTCCCTTGATTGCAGTCTGCACACAATGCTTCTGTTCCAGTCTGTAAACAAGTGCTTCAGGGGGCAGTCACAAGTTTGTAGAGCTGTCATGTGCAGCTGCCATGTCAGTTGTAAATAGTCAAATCTCAGAGCACCTGTGAGGTCTGAAAACACTGATATATGGAGAAAGAACACAGAATCTGTCAAAAGGTTTCAGTGCTCATATAGATGTAGCACCCAACAGACTCTCTGGGCTTTGCAGGTGTAGCCCAGAATCAGGTCTGGTTTCCTGAGCTAATTGTCTTTAAGTGCAAAGGTTTCAAGGGCCTCTGATTTTGCAGGTATTTTATTTGTGAGTGTCTGCTGTAAGGCAGTGGGGAGCCTATTTTCAGCAGTGCTGACTAATCCTGGCTGTCACTGAGGCAGCTGGAAGCTTCAACAACCTTTCAGTAATCAAATTGAAAACAATTTAAAATGGGACACCTAAAATCTCATACATTTCAAAGCTGGAGGGACTTCTGGACAGCTGACTGCCCATAAGTACAGTCTGTACAAACATGTGGCAAATAAATAGCTTACTTCTGCTGTCCTTGGGAGCTGAAGGGCTGATTTTCCAGCTTGTATCTACTTCCCCTTGTTTGTGGTGATGGAGAGCCATATCTTAGAGTTTGCCCAGTTCTTTCTTCAGTCCTTACCGGCATTCTCAATACTAAAAAAGTTACTGACTCCCTCACAGTTATATTTCAGTGCTGTAATATTTTAGAAACCAGGGAAAGTTGAGAGTTTCAGTGTGGAGGAGGTGGCTGGAAGAATTTTTCTCTTCCTCAGCTTCCCCCATCACCTTGTTGCTCCTTGTTGTTCTCCTGGCAGGACTCAGCAGAACAAGTGCCTTGAGCCACGATGGATCTTCTGTTCTGCTGCACAGTTCTCCCAGGAAACCTCCAGCACTGGTGCCAGTGAGGACTGTAGCCCTCAGTATTGCAAAGGAAGAGATAGGCTAAAGTATTTGTGAAGGAGAGAATATCCCTTTTAAACAGATAGAATTTGCTGCTTCAGTCATGGGATTTCTTGCAGGGAGTCTGGGGTTTTGTCCAGCCTTACTCCTCTTTTATTTCCTCCTCCTTACTCCTCTTTCATTTGTTTTCCTGTCCCCATGGAGCTGTCTTGTCTCTTTGTTTTCCTCATATTTCCTGCAAGAAGGGCCTGCTATTCTTCATGTTCAGCTGCAATTTCCTGTGGCAGGCTCTGCTTTCACTCCTTTGCTGCTGCTTCTGCCTTGTTTTCCTCTGAGCCTTGTGTGTGTCTCCCTACCTTCTCCTGTGCCTCTGAACAATGCTGCTGTCACCATAGAGAAGCCACAGCTCTGTGTCCATAAGCTGCATCCCATATTTCTCTGTTCTCTATTTTTCTCTGTTGTTTTACATGAACTTTCAGTTCTTGAGGCTTTTTCAGTGGTCTGTGTTTTGCTGTCTGAGCCCAGCAAGTTTCCCTTACGTGAGCACTGGGCTGGTTGTGTTGAGTGGGTGCAGTGGGCAGCAAAGCCCAGTGATTTTCTGTCTGGAATTCAGTGGGTTGTGATGTGCTGGAGCTGCAGCTCTCACTGCACCATCATCTAGGATTCACCCTCCAACAATGAAGATGTGCAAATAAATATTTCAGAGAGAAGGGAGTGACAGACTTTACACCTCAGGAGAGCTACACTGTGGAGATGCAGTTCAGCAAGAGAATTAATTTTATTTTTAAGGAAACATATGGGAAATGCAGAGGGCACTATCTGAAATAGCACTTTGGACTTCTTGATTTTTGCTTGCATACGAAAGTGCTAATGATTCTTGTAACTGAGAGAAAATTGAGTAAGATATTTCTTTTTATAGGGAGCTCACAAATCAGAGGGACGTGAATTCTTGTTCCTTGTTCATGTTTGTCTTTCACTTAGCCATGAGGAGAGAGAACCTTTCTCTATTTTCTATTTCAGGGGACAGGAAATTTATTGGTATAAGAATTTTTACAGAATCTCTCTTTTTGATTAGGCTGCAAGATCACACAAAGTCTTTAAATAAAAATTTAGGTTGGCTTATCTGAATACTAAGAGGTGTACATTCATGAATATGGGAATTTTCCTGTGAGGGATACACACAACTACATTTCAGGTGTTTGCATTGGGTCATATGGATGATATTTACAGCTGAAATGGGTTTTATTCGCAATAGTTTTGTCACACATCAGAGCTTGTATTTCCTCTTGTAGTTTATCAGTCATGCTTGCTGTATCATTCTTTATAAAGGGGAAAGGCAAATGCACCAAATGTTGCAAAATCCTGCTAGGACTGATGCCTAGAAGAAAACCAAAGAAAAGGAATGGTTACTGTTTTGAAAAGGAACTAAATGTTTAGTTCCCCTGTGCATGACAATAATGGATAAAAAGAAAGTATCAGCAATTCTACTCTCTAGCCACAAGACTGGAGGGTTGGCAGTTTTTTTCACAATGTGATGAAGGCTGTTTCCATAAGCACTACTGATTCTGTTCCCAAAATGTTTTTTGTTATTTGGTGCAGAATTTTTGGGCTACTTTGTGGAGGACCCTTCTTTGTGTGCCCTGGTAGCAACCAGCACTTTAAATTGCAAGGTTCATCTCTCTTTCTGTTGTGGGCATTATGTTTTCTTGATCAGGGAGATAAGTATTTCACCTTCTATAGCCAGTTCTTGTTTAACTCCTCTTATGTTTTTCTGTGGTTTCCTATTTATTTTCTCGAGGTGGCTGTGTCTGTTGTGCTCTGGGTGAGACTCTCACTTTTGAGCTCTCTGTGCACTCAACTGTATGCATAGGTTTTTTGAGAAACTTCTATATTGTTCCTGTGAAGTTTGCTTTCCAATCAAGGGCTGGCCCACTCCTGCATGGCTGCAGCAGGGTTCCTTGAGACAGGCAGGAAAGATGAGGGATTCAGAGGGATTCTCTCTGAGAAACAGCCTTTCCCTCACAATTTCCAGTAGACTTAATGCATTTGGCATAAGAAACTAGTAGGTGTTGCTTCATGAACATATGTAATGAAGCCTTGTAAATGATACAGTAAGAATGGGCAGTTGCATGTTCCTTTTTTTCCCATAATGCTCTGTGAGCAGGATTGTCCAGAACCTCAGGGACAGGGGAAAATCTCATTGTTCAGGTGCCAATCCTTTTAACTGCATTACTGAGAGAAGGCAGAAATGTCTCACATCCAGGCTTTTTGTACAGCTACAAGCCTGGAGTTAAGCTTTCTTTAAGAAATGAGACATAATAAAGAATGGACGTGAATTCTGTTGTGCTAATAGACACCATTCCCTTGGAGCAGGCAGCAGCTGATTCCCATTAACTTTACTTGAACTTTAAGACCATATGTTACTTTCCCATACATGTGCAGAAAAAACTCTTCATGGAGAAAAAAGTGCAACAGCTACATGGCTTTATGAGGTTTTTTCCATCCTTCTCTGTCTCTTTTAGGGAGAATGGGGGTTACAGAGATGAAAATGCCGAAAGAGAAAGAAAAAGTATGGAGATCCAGGTTCTAATCCATACACAGCAATGCTTATGGCCATCCCACTTGACATGGTAGCACAAAGTCACTGTCAAATCTCTGGCCACAGGTGACTTTTTAAAATTTTTTTTAAAATTTTCTCCTGCACACAAACATCAGGATTCTGAGTGCATTATTTCGGGCTCAGGGTTTCCAGGGGAGGAGTGACAGCTAAGAAAGTAGGTTGAGATATGGGTCTTGTGTTGTGGCACCACTTTCCTGTGTGTCTGGATGGCTCCTTCCTCCACTCCACTCCCCCACATGAACAGCACACATGCTGTCCCTCTTCTCCCAGGCCTCCTGTGTCAGCATGGGCTCCTGTGGCTGACTTCCCTAACAGTGCTTGGCTTCTTAAAAGGCTGCTCTGACAATTCCAGGAGAAGTTATGGTTCTGACACGTCTATGACAGTTTCTGCTGACTTCGGGAGAATCGGGGTTTTTCCTTGCCAGTTTTGGGTTCGGTGGTGTTTCCAAGGCTGGCCCACACAGTGTTAGAAACATTTTCAACAGTTCCCATGTTTGCAGTGTGCCATGAATGGACTGTGTTTCACTGTCTTGGTAGTTCTTTACTGCATCCTGTATTCCGAAGGTCCTATTGCCAGTGATTCTGAGAAGAAAATGACATTGTAATTGGTTAACAATGACTGTCTTGGCACTAAAAATCTAGTCTCATCAGATTCTATTTTTTGGCTTTTTTTTTTAATAGAAGCTCTATGCTTTCTTTTACGCTAAGGCCATGATTATATTTGGCCAAAAGAACAGTATTTATCATTACATTTTATTGCTTGGACTGGGACTACACACACTCGTGCCAGTGTATAATGTATGCAAGTTTAGGATATTTGAGTAGTGACTGTATATTTCTACAGTGATTGGAAAATGCCATAGTACTCATTTACTGCTCATAAATTTAAAATATTTCTTATTTTAACAAATAACTTGGCCAGAAGATGTTGATCTTTTGCAAGTGTGTTGGGTTTTTTTTTTTTTTCGTTTTACTAATTATGCCTAGATACTCTTCTGTCTTCTGTGATCATTTTGTGATCATGGTTATTATTTGTCCAACAAAGCATGCTATCAAGTGACTCAGTGTATAGTTGCCAGATACTGACCAAGGAGGATTGAATAGCTGCTTATTAACTGAATTGCATTTATTATTTGCACTGAACAAGGCATGGGGTATGTAAGGAAAGAACAGACTGTGGTAATGTAATTAAAGACTGCATGATAATGCAGACACAGAAGGGAGCTGATTAAGGATGCATAAGCAACCTTATTTCTGGTTTTTTCCAGCTTTGAAATGCTGGACTTTGCAACCATCATGCTGGTTTTCCATGGTGTTTTGAGACCTTACTTTTGAGCAGTTGTTTTACCCAAGCATGAGGATCGAGACTATTTCAAATTTGACATGATCCCTCTCTGGGATCATGGTGTGCTTGCTCTTGCTCATGATAACATCCTTTGTGTGCTGATAGCAGTAACCCTTCTCATGCCAAGATGAGCCATGGTTTTGCAAAGAATTTTGCTGGTTTTGAATCACATTTTCTTTGTTGCAGGAAAAGATGTGGAAGGAAACAGCCCATCATCACTGAAGGATGAAACACCACAGACTCCAAACTCCATTAGCAAGGTACTTGGGGACAGGGAACCATTCCCAGTCTTGCTTTGATTTCTTCTCAGGATGTTATTAATCATTCTTACCCTTCTTTTTTAAAAGTCGTTGAGAAAGCCTCTCCCTCTGTTCCTGCAGGAACTGTGTGTGTATATTTTGAGAGAAAGAAAATTAGTGTTTTTGCATGGTTGGGATGACAAGGAAGCCTGCACTTTCCTCTGGCTTGATTTCACCTCCTACAGAAGAACCTGGTTTATTTGGGCCTCATTTGGCAGTGTAATTAGATATGAACAATTATGGTTGGAAGGTTGATTTTGTCAGCAGAGATGTCTCCTGCTGTTCCTGATCAGCAAGGCAATCATAAATCTTAATTGTTTTGCAAAAGAAAACTGTAATATTTAGTGTAGTGCACAGCATCTGGAACAGTGAGTGGAGAGCCTGGGAGAGAGCTCTGGGAATTGGTGTAACAAGAGACGAAGACAGACTAATCAACATTTCCTGAGCATAACTTTTCCATCCAGCCTGGTAGGGAGAGGTAAAACTGAATCTAAAGTCCCTGGATCTCACTGCTCAAAACCTGCCTCTAGATCAAGAGTTACAGAGTGCCAGGGTTTGATTTCCTGTAGAGATGGAATCAACCTTATAATGAGATCTGGCTTTGACATTCATGTACAGCTTTTTTGGCTGCAGCTCCCTAACATGTTTCTGGAGGGTAACTAGAAATAGAAGTGAGGCCAGTTAATAAATTTTTAACTAAATTTATTTTAAACTATGAAGTTGTAAAATACAAGTGGCACCAGCTGAAATTAAAATATAGCATGAAAGAAACAGCTGCAGACAAGTGATTTCTTGTGAGACATGAAAATAATCTCTGCATCTTCCAGTACGTTTTTCTGTGCTTGCCTGGAGCTTGCAGGTTGTTGTGCTGGGATGCCCTGGCAGAAGTCAGCACAGGGAGATGATGATGAGAAGAGCTTTGGGAGTATGCAACAAGGACTTGTGTACATGTCCTCTGCTATTTCTGGAACCTGACAAGCTGCAAACCAATCTTGGTTTTGCTTTTTCAGGCAGGTTCCTCAAGGAAAATCAGCCTCCCACTTATCCTGGCAGTGGAGAAACCCAAGGACCAGGTAACTGCATCCAGGGCTGTGTGTTAAAGCCAGATGTTCTGCACGCCTTACAGGGAGTGGTGTTGAATTTCCAATGGCTTAGGAATGTAAAGAAGGACTTACTCTGGACAGGACAGCTCAGAGCACTGAAGTGCTGTCCAAAGGGGAGTTTGATTTCTGAGACGCAGGATGAACATAGGAATAGGAATGTCTTTATGAGAGGTTTCTGGGTGAGAGCATGGCTCAGCTGTGTTTTCCCAGCCTCCAGGCCTTCCTTGCCATTCAGTCTCCTACAGGTATGTTTTTGAAAGGAGAAGCACCCATGGAAGATTTGGGTGCCTGCCTAGATTTCACTTCTAGATTAAATTCACTTTGCTGTTCTTAACCTTGCTGTGTTGTGCAGTACCTTGCTCTCCTCCAGCCTTGCCTTCTGTCATGCTTTGCAATGACAGTAGGGAGTCCTTATTGTGAAATGTCTTGTTGATTAAAAATTCAGGCAAATTGGTGGTCACTTCGTTTAATAAGTAATTTTTCACCTCTAATGCCATAAAATAAAGCCTTACTGTCAGCTTTCACAACTGTGAGTAGGGATCTGTCATACTATTTCAGTTTAAAAATAAATAGTGATTCCACCTACTTGAGCCAAAGGGAGAAGTGTGCCCTAATGGAGTCATATTTAGATTCCTGATAGCAGGGGGGAGGAATAATTGCTAGAGACTGGACTGTAGACTGTGGTAGTTTAATTAATGGATTAAAAAGTAAATGTTATAGGTTACAGATCCATACCATGGATATTTGCCCTTCTTTTGATACGGCAGATATGAAAAACCTTGTTGGAAATCAGTGTTCTTTCAACAGCACTACTTTGAGGTACCACAGCACATTAACTACTTTCACTCAGTAATAAGAAGGAAAGGAAAGCCAGTCAAGTGATTCTTTCCCTGGACTGGGGCTTGGGGAACCTCAACTCTGCCTTGGAGTCCCTGCATTGCCAAGGCACATTAATTGTGCTTCTGTTTCACATCTTCATTAGTGAGGTGGAAACAGTTCTGCATTTCGTTCACCCAGGCCATATCCACACTGCATGATGGAGAAGGCTGCAGGTTGCCTAAGTTAGCAGTGAGAATGTGGCATAAAAACCCTATAAATGTCTGTGAACTTGTGAGCTGTGAAGACTTATCTGCAACCACACTGCCCTGTGCTCATGGGTGGGCTGCTGTCTCTGAGGTGTGAACACATCCCAGTTGTTCTATCTGTACAGACAGTCAAATATTTGATACTGGAACATCTGCTTTCAATGTGTTTGTGTGGTTCTTGGCGCTATATATATATATTTGTAATTTCAGCTGTGGCTTCCTGACCCAAATTTTATTGGAACATATATAAGGCACAGTTGAGGTACATTTTACATTGGCAACTTTCTGCAGCATGTTGTCTCCTATTTAATTTTTAAAGTGGTGTTTCTTTCATCTCCTTTTTCAAAGGGAAAAAAATGTTAGCTTACTAATTTCAGATTGTTTCTCCTATTCGTTTCTCTTTATTTGAGAGTCCTTTATCCTTGTTTTCTGGGATGAAGGCTCATAGGTGAGGTATGAAAGTATCACCAACCTGTCTCTAAGCCTCAAGCTTGTCTCTGCAACCAGGTAGTACAGTTAGTACACACCTGATAGTGACAGTAGGTGCCTTTGTTTTGCTTTGTGCCTCATTTGATGCTGTTAGAGTCCTTTGAGACAGCTTTTATTGCAGTATGCAGTGCTGCATGTTCTCTTTCTTTCTTTCCTGTGCTTACCTACTAATTCTTCTGGCTAAAGGGCAGCTGTAGTCTCTTGATATGCATGCAGGTCCACAGAGAACTGAGGTATATTTTAAGGGATAGTCAGAAAAATCCAGAAGCTGGCGCTCAGTGGTACTTCACTGTTTCCAGTCCCTTGCTAATGCTGCAATGAAGTCTATGAAATTGTAGGAGTGGGGCTGTTGCATGCACAGTTATGTGATGTATTGGAAGGCAAAGTATTGAGAATGAGTTTTTCCACATGCCCAAATTGTTCAGGTCTTTATTGTGTGATTTGTAATCTGAATTACAAATATAACTGACTGCTAGGAATTTATTTTAGCTGCACAGTGGTTTGAAAGTGTACATACTCATCACTTGAGATTTAAGCTACAGTTCCCATACTCTCTTAAGCTCACCCCGCTTGATCTGTGAATCATGCTCCTGACCTCTGAGGTAATTCCAGTCATGGTTACACTCAGGACTAACATAGAATATCATTCACAAATGTGGCAGTTTACAAGGGTGCCTTTTCCTCTGTTCTCCCTTAGCCAGCAAACCAAGGAACTGTTTGGCAGACAGACCCAGATATTGCAGGAATCACCTTGGAGAGAGTCAGGAGTGAAACATCCCCTGTGTGTTAAGCTCAGCTTAATGGGACATTCTGGCCCTTCCAGGTGGTGGCTATGCTCAACTGAACCCTTGCTGTCTTTTCTTTACCATACCTCATGCCTTCTGTGTTGTGGATGGCATTATTTTGGAGCCTGTTGTGTCTAGGAACGCTTCCACTCAGTTCCTGTGCCCTGGCTCAGCACACTTGGCTTCCTCAGTTCCAAGGGCAGCACTTTAGGGTAGTCACAGTTGTCCACAGAGGGCTTTGCAGCTGATTTCAACTGAGCAGAGACATAGCCTGGAGTATCCTGGGAGAATCGGTTGAAGAGGGGTGGGATTTTGCATGTGAAGTGGAAAACATGGAGCAGCCCTAACTTCTGTAGGTACATACAAGCCCTGAAAACACCCAGGTGCCTCACAGAGGTGAATGTGGACAGTAGTAACTCAAAGCTGATAACTTTGGGTAAGCCACAGCAGTGAAATCATGTCAGCATAGGTCACTGGTGATTGTAATTCCTTAGTCTAGTGTTTCTGACAAGGAAGGTGAGGACAGATGGAGGTGCTGAAATAGAAATTATTTATTAAAAAAATTAGCAAAACTGCGGGCCCAATTGTTTTTCATTGCTCACTTTGTTTGTTTATTCTCAGCCTAGGGACAAAAGCTGTGCCTATAGCTGGAGGGGAAATTAAAACTGCTTCAACCTTCTGCTGGCACTAAGTGCAGGACAGTCATGTGAAACAGCATCTTTCTCAGTGTCCAACTTCCCATCTCGCTTCAGATGTTCTCTTTAGATATTCTGAACTTGCAGAATGAACTTCCCATGCAAGGCACACTTCAGTGATCAAATTGAAATCCTGTGAGGTCTGTGAGTTTTTCTTTATTTACCATAAATTGATGCAATGGAGTCAAGGATTCCACTGAACACTGGTATAACTAGGTATTTGAAGTTGCTTGGATGGTTGAATTTTACCAGTTATTTTCCCTAGATGCTGCTGTCATGTCAACTGTTTATTTGTACAGGCTTTTCAGTTTGTGCTAATTATTGTGCTATTTCAGAGTTGTAAACACAGTCACTGTATCTTTGTAACACTGTTGAAATAAGAGGGATCATTATGTTGGGTTTTTTCCCAACTGGAAAGTTTCAGTTGAAGATTATTCAGCTTGCTATAAAGCAGTATATCAGTTGAAGGGCAGTCTTTCCTACTGTAAAGGTTGTTTGTCAGTAAGATTCGTTTCACTGACTCTCCTGTGCTTTGGATGAGCTGTTCATTCACAACAAAAGTAAAAACGTTTTCAAAACGAGATGCTTGTAATAGAATGAAACCAAAATTGCTTACATTTGGTTGAGATATCTGTGAATATTCATATGAGTAACAAGGAGTTTCTCAGTTGTAAGGTCAAGCCCAGTTTTTCCATAGTTTTTATACTACTTAAACAACTTTAATTTATTTTGTTTCTGTGTGATCATGATTTGTAGCAATTATATGTGGAAAAGATACTGGAGAAATTACATCTGACCAAGGACATGTCACTACTTTTGTGAAGCATAACTTATGACCCCAGCTCCTTTTGTTCTGCATCCAAATTCCCATCTGATCTTGTCTTTCTCTCTCTTGGATGCAAAGAAGACGAAAGGGCGACTTGTAAGCTGTCACTGCTGTTACCATGCAGAGCACAGCTTGAGAGTGACTTTATTAAAATCTTTCTGATCTGGAATAATTCTGGCTGTTGTGCAGCAAGGATTGCTTGAGCTAAGTAACAGGATATTCCTCTTGCTGTTGTCCTGGGCATGGCTGGCATGCTGATGGGCTGGCATCCCCCACACCAGAGTTGAGCACAGGCTGCTGTTCTGTGAAATTATTTGATTCCTCTTGGAAATGAAGTCGCCAAAAGACATTGGATCAGAATAGAACTATTGTGAGGACTCTGCATGCTCTCTTAAAAAGCCTGGCAGAAGTGTTCGGGTATTGTGATGACTGCTGACAATCAGCAGTGAATCTCCAGAGCTCCAAGACTGAGATGAAAGGGAACAGAAACTTAACTGGGATAAAAAGTATATTTTTGAGTACAGAACAGCCCATTGTCAGTGGCAAGGTCATCACTCAGTCCTGAAAAGGACAGGTTTGATTAGAGAACTGAAAAAGAACAATTCCTTCTCCCTGTGAGTGCTGCAGAATGCTCTGGTGAAAGTTTTTGGCAGATTAACAGATTTCCTTCTTTATGGGAACCAGTATATGGAAAGCCTACTTACTGCTTTCTTATTAGAATACTGCAGTGTGTTTTTTCTTTCTTTAGAAAAGACACAAATTCCTTACTCTCCCACTGTACAAAGTCTCATCTGTGGCCACTATTGTTCACACGTTGCTGCAAAGGGCCCAGATTCTGATACCCTGCACAAGCATTATCCCAGTGTCCTTGGAAGACTTGCTGTGATGACAAATGCCTTCTCTTAGTTTTCTGCCAGGTTGAGAAAGGCAGGGCAATAGAAAGACATCTTCAGATGCTCTTGATGTGTCTTAGAAATGTGAGACCCTGCTGTGTCTTCGGAATCTTTAGAGCTGATGGCTCAAATTTCCTGAATGCCACAAGGTACAATGAAAACCATTAGGACAGATTAATACAAAAATATGAAATCATATTATTTAATCCTAGGGGAACTATCATTACTATCAGCAGCATGGAGACCTATGGTATGCCATCCTGGGGAGTTAGATCCCCCCTGTCCTGTGAGAAAGCAGGGACTTTAAACCCAGAAACACAGTGTTTTTTGCTCTGTAGAGCTGGAGATCACCAGTTTCCTTGCCAGCAAGCTGCTGTTTAGGATCAGTGATGGTGCATCCTCATATGCATAACAAGAGGCAAAGTTGGGAAGGAGAAGCAATCAGTCTGCCTCCTTAAAAACTAACTGGGGAGTTGTCAAAAGTCCCAGGTCAGGCACATCTGAAAGCTTCTCCAGGCTCCTAGTTAAAACCATGGCTTAGTTGTAGTAACATTTTTCCTCTCTTCAAAGAGCATTTTTCAACCATCTTGGGGAGATGTGGTATTGGTCACACAGCTGGTAGGTACATCACAGCTTTTGGGACATAGAAGCACAGAAACTTATTTTCCCATGCCTAGAAATTCTTATATGGGCAGTGCTTCTTTCTCATCCACTCTCAAGCCTGTCTTGGTGACCACCATCCCTGTGTCCCTGTTTCCCCTTACAGGCCAGATTCAGCATGTCCAAGTGTAGCCCAGATGTGGGGGAGGGAGTGCCTGAAGGAAGCAGCCCAGTGGTTCAGGAGCCACCAGAGCATCCTCCAAAGCTCTTCATCCAGCTGCTTTAACCAAGTGAAGGACCAGTTTGAAATTATTTCAGACAAGTTCCACTGTATTTATTGAGCTCCTGAAGGCTGTGATGGTGTCAGGGGAGATTATCCTTTCATCAGCTGTTGTGTGCTGTGGTTTGATGGTGTGCACAGCAGTATTGGCTGGAATTGGGTACCAGTGTCCTTGGTGGAGTCAGCTCTCCCAAAGAGTCAGAATCACTGTCTGTCTGTGTGAACATCCCAGGTTTAAAGCCTTGTGCTTGTTCAACTCTATTTTTAGCATGACCCAGAGAGACTCCAAGGAGGAGGCAGGGTGGGGCTGGTGGAGCAGTGGAACTGCCTCTGTCTGTGTCAGTGCCAGTTCCCCATGAGCAGCAGGTCTAGGCTCAGGTTTGCTGTGGTTGTTGGAAGCCTTTCTCAATTCAGCTGTAAGCAAATCCCCCCAAGCCAAGTGAGCTTAGGGGCCAAAATTTCATTCTTTATATAAGTGCTAGGGTGTAATTTTCTATATAACCAGCAACTGTGAGTTATTTTAATTAGGTAAGCAAAAAGCATTCTTTGTATCCTGATGCTTTGCAGGTACCTGAGCAGTGTTTCCTAGAATCTTGGGAACATCTGTGCTTTTGCTGCCTCTCACACTGGCTAATGAGGACTAGTACACAGTGTTTCTCTCTGTGTCTGATCTCTCAGGCCAGAGGGAGTGAAATTGCTAATAAACAATTGGCTCATAGTTGTGTCTCAAGGACAGGACATTCCTCCTGCTAATTGGGAGAAAGGGGGAGAATTCTTTTGACCGATTTCAGAGGACACATGTATCAAATCATGAAAGCATAATCTCCTAATAATTCTGAAGGATTTTTGCTCAGAGATATTTAGGCACTTGGAAATGTTTCTTTATAGAGAAAGGCTTATAGCTGATCTCCCAAATGTCTACTACTGCCCTTTGAAATGTGACAAAGACCCTGTGTGCACAGCTCTCTGCTCATTCGTCACATCTGTGCAGTGGTCCCCACCATGAATCTTGTGGTTTTACAGTAAAGTCCAAAGCACAAAATATGAATCAGAGACTGCATTGCAGGCAGAGAAGACAGGATTAGCTTTCTGTGAAAACAAAACCAGCAAACACTGAATAGTTTTCAGGAGTCCAGGAGATGGCCTTTTCTTTGAGTGGATCCAAGTTGACTTGTGAGCTAAACAGTCAGATCAGGGCTCTCCCTGACCTTTGTGTGTCATCATAGAGTTTTCATTTCTCTATTTTTAAAGTGTCATGTGTAGTTTTGGTTTTAGTGAAAGAGTACTACAAGGGGATGTGAGAACAAGTAATAGGTTCTACAGTGACTGTGGCTCTGTTGCAAACTGCACCTTCAGTTTCTGATTTCTAATTCTGCATCATCTACAAGAAGTTTTGCTCAGTTGAGCAGGCACCTTTATCTGCTATTTTTGCTCCTGCCCCAGTCTCCAGAGCATGATTGGTGGCTTGTTTGCTGTGATCTGGTCATGCATTTCTGTGTTTTTCTCTGAATCATGTGAAAAGGACTGATCTGGCTGTCATTAAACATTTTCCTGCTCACACTAATGTACAGTATAGTTCATGGCTGTAGCAGCCTGAAAGGTTTCTCTGTCACTGAGAGGGAAAAAGGAAGCGGGTCTCTTCAAACTGAAGGTTCTGTAAAATTATTACATCAATTTGTGACATAAAGGAGAGAAGTTCTGAGAGCCCAGTGGGTTTGTTTCATATCATAGCAGTGAATTTATAAATGGGAAATATATTTGATGCATTTTCTCCTTAGTACACCTCATTTTTGTGTCACACTCATTAAATCAAGGTGGCTGAGGGCTGAGTTTTCTTACAAAACTGTCGTGTGCAAGTGGGAGAGACAGTGCCTGACCTCAAAAGATCACTGTCTGAATGCATCAGACACATGAAAGGTTGGAAGGAAGAGAGGTACAGAGAGAGAAAGTAACTTCCCCAAGGTCACATAAAAAGCTGCAGAGTCCAGACTGTACCATAATTCTTTCACCACTAACCCTGCCCAGGTTTTGTACAATTTGCTGACAGAACCTTTCCACGTGGGGGTCCTCGTTGTGAGCTGGGCTCTGGAGAGCTGCACTTTCTAAGCACACTTTATTTTGGTAACAGTAATGCTGTCATTGTGCCTAATGAAAGTAAAGCATTTCTGCAGCCCATCAGCACAGTCATGACATCAGTCTGTAGTTTCTGAAAGTGAGTTTAAACAGCACTGACACTGTCAAACACCATTTGAAGTGACTGTGTGTATTTTGTGCTTCACTTTGCAAGGCCAAGATGAAGGTGATTTCCTGTATTATCTGTAACATGATTAGGTCATTTCTTGCCCACCCGTGTTTTTGGACATTTCAGTCAGTGCAACAGTCATTGCCAGTATCAAGTCTAGTTCTGAAAAATCTGTAACAAATTCCCCATAAGTTCTATTCTAGTAATTGAAATGCTTTTAGATCTGAACAGAGACAGTTTTCAAAATTAGAAATAATTTTTTGGCTTTCTGTTTTGTTTTATTGTTTTGTTGGGTTTTTTCCCTTTATTTTTTAACCAAGATTAATGTCTGCATGGGAGAAGTACAAAGAAAATTTGGTGGGGAATTTTCCAACCAGCAATGGGTATAAAAAGGAAGTTTGGACTGCGCTCTAAATATGTATTTTGTGCACCTCCTTAGTGTTCCACTGCTGAAGTCTGCAATCATCTCTTTCATGGATTCCTGAAAGTTGTAAAAAACACTTTATCTGAGCATAACTTGACCATCTTCATGTTAACACATTCCTATTTTCTTCCCCCATTTCTTTTAGATCGAGTATAAGCTTTGCAATGGGTCTGACAAAGAGTGTGTGTCTCCAACAGCCAAATTCATGAAGAAGGAAACACTGAAGGTATGTTCAAAGCAGCCTGGTCATGATCAGCTCACTTTCTTTTAAAAAACAAATGGTACCTTCCAAACAAACCATTGGAAACAAGTCAGAGTGATTTCCCAAGAGCCAGAGAAGCCTCTGAATCTTCTCGGAGTCATTAGAGGCCAAGGACATTTACAGGCTTTATATACAGGATTAGATTATATACTGCATGCAGAACAGATCAGTGTAATTATTTCACTGTGTTTGTATGTTTTGGAGCCATTAGGCACCTCAAGAGGATTATAATCCTTCACTGCTCTTGTTAGGACAGACTTGCCTAGGCAATCTGAGCTAACTGTAGCTTGAACACTTGCTTGTCTACCAAACCAAAAGTATAATGAATTAAATTAGATATAGTTTCTTGAATTTGAGGGGTGAGGAAGGCTGTGTATCCAGCCTCTTTCTGCTTCCCCCAAGGAAAAGACAAGCTAGGTTGTGTTTAATGAAACTTAAGGAGCAAATAAAATGCTTGTTCTCTTGTTATGCTTTTATTCCTCCTTGTGCTCATTTCTGGAGAACCTGTGCTGGGTCAAGTTCTTGCTGTGCTATACATAACTGTCCTTAATGCATTATATTCTTTCCTCCACAAAAGAGGCCATGATTACAGCTACTATATTGTCTCTGTTCTCAACCAGGTACAAAAAAAAAATTACAGACAGGAAAAGAAAAGAGCTACCAAACAACTCTTCAGTGCTCTGAAAGATCCCAGTGTGGTGATCACAGCAGACTGGCTGAAGGTACTTGATACAGACCATTTCTTCTAAGCCTGTGGGAAAAAAATAAGTGGGATGTGAAGTAGTTGATGTGTTTGAGATGTATGCACTAGCACTTTTGTAAGTGAAAGAAGACCAAATAGTTTTGAGATGAAGTTACTGTAAAGTAACTTCAACTCAAACTTTATTTAAATAACTGCTATAAAAATGGAACTGTGAGTATTTACTTTCCACCTTAACTCAATTGGTCTATTCCGTGCCCTTAAGCAGCAACAAGGGCTCAAAAAGGGCATAGTACAAAGGGAAGTGATGTTTCTCTCTTTGTTCCTCTCTGAAAGACTCCATTGGCCTCTTCCCATAAATGTGGTTTTGTACTGAAGAGGGAATAGACTGAGTAACAGCTTGAAAATGGGCAGATACAGCTTGTTCTATTGACAATTGGATTTTCTGTTGTCACAGCACAGAATGAAACATATTGTACCTGATGACAACTGCAATTTCTCCTTGTGCACAGACTCGGGTAGTGACAGTTTCTCATTGAAGTCCTGAAACTTCTGTGTGGCAAAGTAAATCTGGATTGACATTGAGAGATGAGCACTGGTTTTCTCCTCCTTTGGGGCCATTTAGTCTTCTCAAATAATAGTGAATGGTTGAAGTTTTTATATTGGCAAAACCTAATTTCCAAACACATAGCTCTTAAGAAAAACAAAGTAACTTAACAATCTCATGAAACAATACAGTTGCATTTGGTTAGTGGTAAAAACCACCAACATTGTTCTGCAATTATTATTGGAGGTCAGAAAAGTGACATGCTTATGGTTTATTTGAGAAGTTAGATTGGCAGCACAGTCTTCCTGTAGTGTTTACTGTTAATGAAAAATAAATATTTAGACTTTTTAAAACACAAAATACTTGTTACGTGTTTGCTGTGGCTGGAAATTTCTGGTGAGCTGCAAATAATGCTGGGCCACAAAAAGAGAACACAGAAAAGACTTAAGGTTTGGCCTATGCACACTGAAGGCAGGAAGACCTTAGGCAAAATCTAACCTTACTGAGAAACTTCTCCATTCTTAAAGCTGTTATCTTTAATGTACTCTTATCAGATTTAATGTTTTCTATACAAGAGAGAGCTGTATTGAGCTCGACAGAGAAGTAAACCAGCTGGAGACAGTACTTTTAAAAATGGGGTATTTGACAAAACCCATTAATAGCAGTGTTCTGCAGAACACTATTAAAATGACTTATAAGTCGAGTTAGACTAGCTATAACATTTTTATATGCAATGTTCTAATTGGCATGTCCTCTGTGATTATTAACAGATCACTCTCACATGGGCCAGCAGTGCTGATTGCCTAAAAAATTAACCAAGCTGCTAACACTGAGCTAGTAATAAAAATAGGAAGAATACTAAACCAGTAATAAAAATATGAAGACAAGATTCTGATAGTCAGATTTCTAAGTTCTGGGATTTTGCTGTGAGGTCCCTAGGACTGTTCAGGGAACACCATATATTTTCCTTAGGAAATGTATGTGCAGCCTTGGAATAATCATACTGGAAATACTGTATGAATACTGAATAAATGCTGTGTTTCTTTTAAGGAACAATGTAGATGCAACTATTTTTTTTCCTTCAGATTCGTGGGACTCTGAAAAGCTGGACCAAACTATGGTGTGTCCTGAAACCAGGAGTGCTGCTCATTTATAAGACGCCAAAGATCGGACAGTGGGTTGGGACAATTCTGCTCCATTCTTGTGAGCTGATCGAGAGACCCTCCAAAAAGGATGGCTTCTGCTTTAAACTCTTCCATCCTTTGGATCAATCCATCTGGGCTGTAAAGGTAACAATCCTGATGAGTCAAACAACCTGTTCTTGGTCACCAAAATTTCTGAGCACTGGTGTTGCCTAGCACTGACATTATTTAGTTATTCAGTTGCTGTTAGCAATGGTGAATTGACTGACTAAAAAAGATTAAAGATACCAAAGCTTGATCACTGAATGATATCAAAGAGACATAGTCCTTGTGATTAGTTCCACAGATGTATCATTCTCGGTGTACAGATGCCTGCATAGACTGAAGAAAAAGGAAATGTGTTTTCTGCAGGAAAAGAAATTCAATACCTACCCTATATCAAGCCACGACCTACATCTTTAAAAGGAGTTGGGCGTAGACAGAGTTAACGAAAGTCCCCAAAACAAGGACACCGAAAGCACCATGTGCTTCGCACAAGACAGGGAGATGGTTGGCAAAGTGACAAAAAAGCAGATTTATAATTTGACTTCTTTTTTTCTAATGCCCCTGAAGTTTGGATTTGTTTGCAATAGACTTGGAACTCAGTGTTCAGCTCAAGCCTTGACTGTTGCACAAAAGTATGACTTCAGATAACTCTTATTGTCTGTTCTTTGAAATGGAAATAACAGGATTTTCTCCACCTCATTTTGACTTATTCTTCAGGCTGACACAATCCCTTTCTGTACATACACTGGCTCCTGCAGTGACCTCTGGATCTCCCTGTAACAAAAATTATTAATAGTTTTTCACAGTTCTTGAAATAAGTCCCTGCAAACCTTAAAGAGCTGTATTCCTTTTTCTTCTTTCCTTTAAGAATAGGCAAAAAATAGAAAAAAAAATTATGTAATGTGTATGAGCAAAGAGGAAGATCCCAGCACCTCCTGAGAGGCACTGAGAGCCACATCTTTTGGATACCCTGAAGACAAAACTTAAATGTTCTTGTATTTGTTTCCCTGTCAAAAACAGTGACAAAAACAGAGTTATTGTAGATATAAATTCTCTGGAGACATCACAAGTGTAAATAAGGCATTATGAGCTGATGCCTTACTGCAAGGTAGTCAGCAGAGGGAATGGAAATGGAAAGACTCACGAGAGTGCAGTGAAAGCACTTGTCATGGCATCAGGAGTTCTAACAAAAGGGAGAAGCCCTGTGGGAGCAGATCAAGCAGACACACTCCTGCTCATCCGTGCAGTTAATTGAACAGTTTTAAACACAGCTATACAATTGCTATAAAAAACCTTTCCATTTTTAATAAGGTAGGAGGAGAGAATTAAAATTAACCTCAGTAACCAGGGATGAGAGCTGCCAGCTGCTCTGATTTGTGCCTAAATGCACTCCTTTTCCTTAAAGTAACAAAGGTTTTGTTGCTACCTTGCTTCTTACTCAGTTTTGAGAGTTTTGATGGTTTTTAAATTCAGAACATGCAGCCAAGAAGGTTGTTGATGATTTACTGTCTGTCAACAAAAACCCTCCTTGTGACTTGACAGGTCAACTGAATTCTCTGAGAAGCACAGTCAGAAGAGGTAGTGAAAAATAGAATCAAAAGTTCAGTCAAATACTGAAAGGCAGAGTTGCTGACAGATTTGAAAGGTTGCACTAGGATGTCCCTCCTTTGATATGAGGCATCCCAAAGAAAGAGGAGGTTTTATCAATATGTGTATGCATTTAAATATGTGTATCTAATTATTGTGTCTCTTGAGAAAACATAAGATAGAAATAAGAATTAGTATATTAAATGTGAAGGAAATATATATCTGAAAATGTTTGTGGACTAGAGGAAGTCCAAAGAGGTTTAAATTTTAAAGTCAAAGTAATATTCTGCATCTCTTGAGACATATTTAGAAAGCCACATTTGAGCTGCATAGTAGGATACTCCCTGAAACCTAAGTTCAGCCTGGATTGTTGTGTGTGATAGATGCTTTCGGCCATGAGGTAAACACCAAACTACATGTGAGGAAGAAATCCACCAGTGAGCTGCTTGATGTCAAAGAGGCTGTCTGCACTCTGTCAACAGTTTAAGGCTGAAACTGCTAAAAATACTGTTTTCTTTTATATCATTTCACAGCCTCTTTTTAAAGCAACTGGAGCAGAATTGACTGATCTGCATTGGTTGTGTATAACTAATCAAAGAAATTCTGTTCCTCTTTAAATATAGATTTACTCAAACTTAAGCAAAAAGCCCAAGTTACTGTCCATCACAGTAGAAATAAGATCTGGATGAATACCTTTCATTCTTGGCCAAAATGGCTCATGAAATTTACAGGGGTTATCCAGATTAGAGTTGATGATCCAGCTTTCACTCTCATCAGTGGATTTGCAGTTTACTCAGGGCAATTACTGAATATCTTTGTACATATTGGCCTGGCTGCCCAGCAGATGTTTGGAGCTAACTCTGGGGTTCAGCTCTGGAGCAAATGTCTGGTTCAGGCACTGCCATAGGCCTTTATGGGAGTACTGGGCAAATAAATTTGATGTGCAGGCCTATAGTTTTAATTAGAGGAGGGTGAGACTTCAGGGCACCTTTCAAGATAAGATGTAAAGGCCATGGCTTGTGGTTGAAAGCTAAATACATGCACCAGGTTACTGTTTTTCCTATAAAGCTCTCTGGGGTCTAGAGCTCTCTTAGAAGCATATTGCTAAGGGAAAGAGGTCTTTGTTCTATACTGCTTCCCTGGCTTTTTGAGAGTTTTAGCCTGAAACTCCTTTGCAGTGCACAGAGATTAGACCCTTTACCTATCTGTTCCATCCAGGCCTTTGTAAATGCAAGGCCAAAACCGTCAAGGTCCCAAAATCAGCCAGCAGTGCAAGCAGCAGTAAGAAAAGCTTCCCCCATATGCTCCAAATGCTGCTTAAGAGGCACTTTGTCCAGTGTGTGAGGGCAGTGTGATCCCACACTGCTCCTGGGAAGAGACATTTTGGCACGGTTGCTGCAGGAGACTTGGGGGCGGGGGGGGGGGGCCAACCTAGCAATTCCTGTGAGTTTGTGGGTGTCTGTCTTCTTGATGCACAGAGGGAGTGTAGAGCTATCAGCTGGTAGGGTTTGCCTGCTTGTCCCAAAAGATGTCCTGGAATAAGTTGTATTTCCCTTCAAGCTTGCTCAGAAGCTGGCTGAACAATGTGGTGTGGGAAGGCTTTCATTATCTGCAGCCTGTTCTGACATTTATTTAGAACAATAAGTAAGTTGGGGTCAGACTCACTGCATCTGGGAAAATGTTTAATTTGAATTTTGTTGATTTGTAAGAATTTGAGTAATTCCCTTAAAGAAAGAAAAAAGTAATGGTCTTGCACTGCTGCTTTTCTAGTTGTGATTCGATTCCGAAACACAACTGTTTCATCTTCATCCTTGTGGTTATCCACAATACTGTTAAGGAAATTTTCCCCCCTTTTTTAAGCTTTATTTTATGACTGTCTGAGATGTCTTGTCATACTGTCTAGTATACTGTCAGTCCTCTCCATTTTTCAAAGCCCAGTCACCCCCTGTTTCATAAAGCCTTTTGAGTCTCAAATCAGATGTAAAGACAGGAATGATCTAAAGGTGGTCCTTTCTTAGTTGTACTGCACAGAGGCTACAGCTGGGCTCTGGGTGCTGGTGCACCTGGGATAATACTTTGAGTGAGAGATGGTCATTGGCATGGTGCTCAAAGTCTGGGAGACAGAAAGCGTGATTATCTCTGCTGTGCAGATACAGAACATCATTTAATCTGTGCCGATGTTGGCTTTATTTTCATGGCCTCCTCTCTTTTCTTTTTCTGTTGGAAATGGCCCTCTCCATGCATGAACATGCCTTACTGTTGAATATGTTTCCTTGACAGAGTGACCTGGCTGCTTCTTGAGTTAATCCATATGCCTAAATTCCTGTTATAATCTTGTGTTATCCTTTCCTTCCCATTTCCCCCTTTTTTAAAATACTGTTTCTCTGTATCTGTACTGTTAGGCTGTGGAGTTTTTCCTCAAACAGAGCAAATACCCACCTCTGCACTAAAAACACAAGTAATGGTGTTAGCAATAGCTGTCCTACGCCCTGCTCAGCTGCAAGCAGCTAAAAGGAAAAATGCCGTGGGGAATGATGCCTGATTGCATTAATGTCACTAGTAATGTCTTAAGCTGCTCTGCTCTTTTTTTACAAATCAAATCTCAATTTTGCCAGTCCTGACTATTAAACCTTTAAACAGTCTTAATTTTTGAAACTCCAGTGGGAGAGGGGAGGAGAAAAAGAAAGTAACAAGGAATCCAGTTTCTCTTGCCCACAGATGTAAAGGCAAGAAGCTTGACTGGAGACCAACTAGGAGGGAGGAAACCTCCTTTCAAGAAATACGGTTGGATACCATAAAGGCCCACATAAGGGAGGAAAGTAATACTCAAACTGCAAAAATCTGCCTACAATTTTTCAGCATTGTGTGGTATTCTCTAGAAAGTTGAGGAAATCTATATTGGAGCATCCTGGAGCATCCTCTTGCTCCCTGCTGCAGGTGACATAGTGGTCACCGAGTATTGGTGGTGTTTTCTGCGCTGCTTTTATTTCTGACATAATATCTGCATATTTTAAAAAAATATTTGCTTTTGTGTTTTTTGTTACAAAGTAGGAAGAGAATGAGCTGGAGGAGGCTGGGTCACTTTGAAAATGCAATGGAGGAGGAGAGATTTCTATTTATTTCTGTCAGGTTATGGTACAAGGTCCATACCATGAAGAGTACGAAGTTGTGTTTGCTGCATACAGGAACTGCTTTTTCTTAGCATCTTCTGGAGTTCAGAAAAGAAGGAAGCAGGGAGTAGATCAAGGAGGGAGCCTGTGGTTCTGCTCAAAGAAGTGTCGCATCCGGGATGAACTTTGCTTCCCTGGGCATCATTTGGAGGGTCATGCTGAAAGCATGGTGGCAGGATGTTTACAAGACACTTTCTGGTTTTTTGCCACAGCTTCTAAACTAAAGGCAGCATAAAATGAGTAAAGCCTGAAGTGGCTGTCACCACAGGCACCACAGCGTAAGGGTGCTCTGGATTTAAAGGTGAAGGACTGCAACCCAGTAGAATGTGCCCATGCTGGGGACCTTTGGTCCTCAATCTGTGGTTTTCCCATTTTCACCTTTCCCACAGACTCAGGATGGAGTTTCCCCTTCGTTTGCTTCCAGGAGAGCTGCTGTTGCCTCTCTGCTGGGGGCACTCACAGCACAAGGTGTAGCTCTGCTGCTTTTGTGGTGGCAAGTGAAAGGTGTTTCACTGTGAGTGTGTGTGTGGCTGCAAGCAGACTCCACGTGCACTTCATGGAGCAGTTCCTTCTGGTGTTGCACAAAGGTTTGACTGATCTTGTCCTAAGTGACAGCAATAAGATTTTTCCACTCCTGCATATCAGAATAAACATAGCAGGTTTTGGACTGAGCAAAGGTTAGACCAAGCTCCATTTTCATAGGAGCTCATTACTGCCTTGGAGCTGCAGCAGCAATATCGTGATTACTAATGAGTCTCCAAATTATTCCATCTGCTCCTGCCTTCTTTCCTATTGCAAACATGCACACACTGCCTGGGAAGGGTGGGAAGACCTTGAACAGTCCATTGCAGCTTCCATGCCTTACATCTTCCTGTCTGTGTGCATTTCCAGGGACCAAAGGGAGAAAATGTCGGTTCGATCACTCAGCCTCTTCCCAGCAGCTACTTGATTTTCAGAGCAGCCTCCGAATCAGATGGTAAGTCTGGGGGTATGTTTGCTTTCTCCAGATAGCATACTTCCTGCTAGTTAAGAAAATAGGTTGATTTTTAAAAAAATGTGGATAAAGGAAAAAATGGTGGCTCACCCAGCCTGAAAGACTGCTCTTAGCAATGGCCAGAATAAGTCAAGCAGACTTCTGGCACATTTCATTGCCCTCACAGAACAGCCACCTCTCTTGCCTTGTGTATGGAAGAAGGACTTAGGCTTCTAATTGGGGAAAACCACTAAGTCAGTGTAAACTAAAGGGTGGAAGGAGTTGGTCCCAGAACTGATATGAAAAGGGCTCTGTGTCCTCAGTTCAGCAGAGACTTCATTGTCTTGTCTGCCTACATCTTACTCTGGGAAGGGATCTGTTGGAGGAAATTGGCATGGTAATATTGAAGAGCTGTCAGTAGATGCCTTTCAGCCACCTGAATTTTGCTGTAAACTATTTGTGCTGTGGCTTGCAGTATAGCAGGCCCAGATGCTGGTGACTCCACATGTAAAATACCATTCTGGGAATTTGCAAAATTATGGAAGCTAAATTTAGGTCAGTATATAACAGACATGCCAGCTTGCTATGGGAAAATCTCTATAAATTACTTCAGTGGACATAAAATATCAGTGATTTATAAGTAGATAAGAAGATTAAAACCATGTTTTCATTCCATTTGACCTTCAGACTACTCTATTTATTTCATAACAAATTAACCCAGGCTGTTAGTTTTAAAAGTATTTTTCACCTATCCACCAAGGGGGCTCATCTATTCCATATGCTCCTTTGGGTCTCATCTAGATTAACTTTAGGGACATATGGACTTCTTATGGAGAGAAATGGGCTTTGAAAGTAATGTCCTTCTGGTCCAGTGATTAGGTTTTACATTTTCATAAGGGAAATGAGACAATGCAAATGCACCTTTGACATGACATTTAGAATAGGAGGAAACCTTTCTTCATTACAGACTTATTTGCTATTTTCCTCTTACAGTGTAAGGAGGACTGTTGATGGCGAGGGACAATATCTTGACACTGAAAACTGCTTGCAGATGTCAGTGTAGTGAAATTATATGAAAATAAGCAGAAATTATATAGACCTATAGAAACACATCGATTTCCTAAAATAGTATGCTTTTGTAGCTTATTTGTGTAAAGAAATACAGGATTCTAACCTGGCTCCAAATATCACGTGCCTAGAAAGAGATAGATTGATGCAATAATCTCTTGTGGGGGGGCTGTAGGGTATAGCTGCTAAATTAGAGGCCTTTCAAACCCTGGTTATACACAGAGCCCACAGAACAGATATACAGAAGAGTCCCACAGAGTTCTTAGGCAACCAGATAGCTTCATCAATAGCTTCAGTCTTGTCAATACAGATTTTATAAAATAGTATTTCCTTAGAGACCCATGCACTTGTCTTTCCACCATTTTAATTATTAATGATTAAACCATAGGGGCAGCCTGGCAAAGAAAGCTGTGTGAGCTTCTACTCTCTATTTTTATGATGTCTGCCATAGGCCAGTTACATGGAGTGGAAGAGCTTTAGATTTGTTCTAACTAACCTCACCCATAAAGACTCTTCAGGTAGCAATAGCTCCCAAGAGCTCATCAGAGATAAGACTTTTCTAGCTGTGATCTCTCTGTCTGGGTCGTACAACACATGGTGGAAAAGCACAAAAGGGACCATACCTGGCACGTGAGAATTGGCAGTGTTGAAATGCCTGTGGGAAGTTTTCTGCCCAGTGAATTACTATGTGTCTCCAGTGTCAAAAGAGCTCTAAATAGTGAGTTACTGCAACACATTTTGAAGGCCAAGATCCTTGGGAAGACTGCAGAGTCAAGGCAGATCAAAATAGAATTACTTTCAGTTTAGTGTGATTTCCCTTTACTTTGCTGCTTCTCTCCAGTAGGGTACTAATATTAGGTGGAAAGCTACTGTGATCAAGGGAAGGATGAGGAACTGAGGTGCTTCTCAGTCAAATATCCTAAATGTGTATGTATAAAGTAACTAGGGCTTTTGGTTCAAGACAAAATACAAGCACTTGAACAGCACCAGCAGTTCCCTAGAGCCACCTGCTCTAGGAGCACCCACATTATGCCTGGTAGCTTCTGAGTCTGATGAGGTGATCTTGAAAGCCAAAGCTTTGGGATCTGTCCATTTAGCAGTGGACTTCACAAAAAAAATTATACCTGAATTGCACCAGAAATATTAGCATGAAAAGTGGTGTAATTTTCAGCTGAATGAGAGTATTTGACTTCACAGCTGAGGTCAGTGAGCTGTGGAAAGTGGGCATACTTTGTGTAGGAAGGGCAGGATGTGAATCTCCAGACAAGAGGGAAGAACAGCTTCCTCCCAAACACGTGTCCTGACAAATGGCCAAACATACGAGTGTCATACGGAGAGATGAGTGACTTGGAGACAGTATTAATGTCAGTAGGTCATGTAAAACATATGCAGACAAAGACACAAGGAGCATAAACTGCTACATGTAAAGAATTCTGTATAAACTGCAGGAAATTAAGGCTTGTACTTTGCAGTTTATATGGTTTGATTTTAAGCTCAGAAGACAGGACTGAAATGGTTTTGGACTGTTACATTGCTTCACCTGTTGTAAAGAGACATCTCCAAAAGGGTGTCCCTGAGTTTGTTTCATTTCTTTAACACATTGGACAAACCTAGAGGATGCAGAGAGACAGGAGATGGAGGTAAAATGAGCTAAGCCAGCTGAAACAAATGGGGCAGGTTTGAAATGTGTTCACATCTCCCCCGTAGGGCAATACTGAATGAATCTACAGCATCTCTGAAGAGGTGTCCTTGTCGTGTTCTTCTTAACACAGTCTCCCATGTTAGTAGTGGAAAATGAACAACAAAACATTTGGCAAATATAACTAAGTCGTGGAGGCCTCTGACTTGCTGGGAAATACTGAGTTGCTGCATATGTTAGATGTACAGTTCAGCCATCCGGGCAACTCTATCATGATCAGCAGCTACATGGCCTACTTTTTCTCTCAGCATTTCAGAACCCCCATTTTCCCCTCTGCTGTACCATCTGTGACAGACTGTTGGTAAGATTTAAGATCATGATTTCTGGTCAATCTGCAGAACCACTGCCCGGCTACAGCAGATTTCACATTCACAGTGCAGTCTGCTTTTTGATGTGTCTTAAACATCAGCCTCTGGAAAGGTCATGTCAGCCTGCAGGGCTCAACCTGTGCAAGTGCACAGTGTTTCTTTCTTAGCAGTTTCAAAAAAGAAGACTGCTTTTTTTTGAACCAGTGACTGTGTCTACATTTCAGATTTGTGTTGATGAGTGGCTTAGAATTAGTAGTTTAAATCTGTCCCAGGCTTCCTGCCCAGACCATTCTGGAGCTACCCCTGAGATCTAACTGGTGTGTCCTAAGCATTTTAAGTCACCTGCTTAGGTCTCACAGTGAGGATCTCCCCTGTGCCATGGGCACTGCTGCCACAGGGCGTATTCCTACTAATGGAATTCAAAGTAGCAGATTACCAAGGATTAAAATCTTAACAGTGGAATTGTGAACCACATTTACAATTTATTCCTTCTGTCTGCCCTTTCCTTCAGGTATGCTTTAGGTAGCCTTCATTGCCTGATGTGGATGCAGTTGTGTGGAAATACTGATGGTCTGGCTTACAGTGTTGTTGTTTCTTTCCTAGGCATCTGATCCTTCCCCCAAAACTGATGCTCTCATCGGGGGAGGAAATTAGGTTATTGAAATAAGGGTCACGCACAGAAGCAAAGAACCACAGGGAAGATTGCAATTTGAAACCATTTTAACAATGAAATACATCTCTGTGTCTTGGCAGCTCTGGAGAAAATAGAATATCTTTTTAGCTTTATGTCTGTGTTTCATACTCCTTAGACCTTTCACAGTGGTTTAAAATCCAGGCTTTTGCAACAAGATTTCATTAAGTTCACTGCATAAATTGCACCTGCAGCTAATTGAGAGCTCACATCCTTGCATCTTGACAGCCAAAGTGGGAGAAATCATGCACACAGGCACCCAAGTGGTACAGCAAAATAAGCAGTCAGCTGAACACGATGACCTTAATGTTCACTGACTGAAGCAAATCAGCCTCTTTCTCACCATTCCTGATTTGTGTGCACTTGAGCAAGAATTCATCGTTTCCAGGTGACAGTCTACTTCAGGTTGATTTTTAAAAGCATCTATCTTGTAAGTGTGAGGCATGAGGCCAAAGCTGGAGGACTTTAATAATTCAAGAAGAATAATATTCCCTTAGTGATGCCTCTCTAGAGGAATGTGTGGTTGCTCAGTGTGAGCCTTTTGAAGTCTTAATTGGCAAGAGATTCATCCCAGGTGTTCTGTAGCTACAGGAATGCAGTGGAAAAGAAGTATTGTCCCAGATTGATATTTCTGTATGTAAGGGTGTGATTCCATCTAGAACAGATTTTTCTTTCTGGTGAGTGCTGAGAGAACATTGGCTGTGTCCTCCATGACCAGCTGCTGCAAAATGTGGCAGATAGACTTGGCACATCAGATTATGAGTTCTTCTAGGTGAGTGCAAAGAATTTCAAAACTGAATAGCTTAGTGTTTTCAGTGCTGCCTGTTTTTGTCCTGTGAGATATTTTTGTAATTTTAGATCTCTTCAAAGACTAAGACAAACTCAAGTTTTTCTTTGAACTGAACCTAGGTTAGCAGCATAAGCACCTTCTGTTGTTTTGATTTTTTTTTTCCAAGAGGGAGAAGAAATTATTTTTGTCTCTTGGTTTTAGTAGTTCCTTTTGTCTGTGAAAAAAAAAAACAAAAAGAGTTGGTGCAAGCACATGCCTGCTGCTATTCAGCCTTGCAGCCTCCAGGTTTCTTCCTGGTGCCAGCATGACCCAGGAGGTGTCCTGCAAGGAGCCGTAGTGATTCCTGTTTGCACCTCAGAACATGTACAGGACAACCAAGGGATCAGGACCAGCCAGCCTGGTTCTGCTTGACCAACCTGATCTCCTTCTATGGCAAGGTGACCTGCTTAGTGGATGAGCCCTGGAACAGGCTGCCCAGGGAAGTGGCTGAGTCACCATCCCTGCAGGTATTTAGAAGACATGCAGGTGTGGCACTTTGGGACATGGTTAATGGTGGACTTGGAAGTCCTGGGCTAACACTTGGACTTGATGGTCTTAGAGGTATTTTCCAATGTAAACAACTATCTGTTTCTATATAATTTGATTTGAGAAGAGCTTAAAAGTTTGTGGGGAGATTCTGCCACAAGCTGACAATATACTTCTGGGATATTCTTCAGAATTTGAACATATGCTGAGTTTAAACCACAGTTTGTGTAAAATTATAACTGATAATTGATTGTAGTTTTTACATTGCCACTTCAAACCTCCTAAAAGAATAGTATTGTACTTTTTTTTTTGCTTCCTTCATATGCACCCTTTTGGGCTGCCATTCCTCTCTGAAGGAACCCACGTCCTGCATTATTTTCTGATCTAATTACCCTGTATATAAAAAACCCTGTTTGAGTCACCCACTCAAAATTAGAAGATGTGAGAATTGAGGTAGCCATGAAGCCTTCATGCAGTACCATCACTGTAGGTGGCAGCCTTTAATTATGTGACCACATTTATTTCTCCCCTTCTGCAGTTCCTGAGGGAGTGAGTAGACTTGTCAGGTAAGCAATTAAGTAATCCAAATGCTAGCATTTTTGTATCATCTTCACAATCCAGAAGAACACAGCTCAATAGAAAGGTCACTCAGATGTAAAAACATTTCATATAGGCCTTTAGCAAGGAAACAGGTTTATCTTGTGTGCAATCCCTGTAACTGAGAGAGTATAATTTTATGGGTTTATGCTGCAATTAACACACCGTTGCCTTTTAGAGAACGTAACCTTTTTATTTGCAGAGATAAGCCCTTGTTTTCCATCTGGGTTAGTGACATGTGTTTGTTCGGATTCACAGCACCCCCTGATGGCTGAAGGCCCATTTCGGGGCTTGGGGATGCTCTGCATCCCTTCGGTTCAGTTTCTGTTAGAAATGAAAACAAGGGTGTACACTGATGCCATTTCTGTTTGCTGCAGGGCACAAAGAATGCTGACTGCTGATGCACAGCAAGTTCCTCTAAAGCTCTGTGTATCTGCCCAGGACTATTAAAATGAATATTTAATGTTTTTGGGGTTTTTTTGTTTTATTTTGGTGGGTTTTTTTTAATTTAAGCTCCTTGAATAAGGCTTCAGAAAAGATTCAGGTTTCTCATAACACCTCCCAGGATGTTATCTGAAGAGTTGGGTACCCTAAGTATATTGTGTGGAAATTTCCTCTGGTGACATGGTGAACCCCAAATTTTTGACCAAGCCTGTAAGGTCATGGCAGCACTGGTGAACACCTGTGGCAGTGGGGTGGGGGTAAAAGAGCTGCCCGTGGGTCATGGCCAACATGGGCTGCTCTGTCTACGTCCCCAGGGAGGGGGATGTCTGAGGGAGACTTGGGGCCACCCTTGCCTCAGCCATCACAGGATAATGAGTATACCTGAGAGCTGCAGAGCACTGAGGAGATGACCTCGGTGCTGCCTCAAAGGGCTCATGCTGCTACACATCAACCTACCTGTCAAAGCACCTGATTTTAACAGCCTATTTAACACAAAAATATCTTGACATATGCAGCATTTCCAAATGTCAAATCACACAGTTCTCACTCTGCGGAACTGGAAAAGAAAAGCAATTTCAAAAGCAGAGGATAGTCAAGGTGGGGAGCCTGAGCAGGAGTGTGCTCCCTTGTGAGGCACAGCCTGAAACAGATTTGCATAGTGGTGGGTTTGGGGGACAAGGAATATGTGGGAGGAGATGGATTTGTGCTCAGTGCAGCCATTAACTCTAATGGGTTATCCATGCAAATCCTCCACGTAGTGAGAACGGCATAAATCTCTGCCTGTAAAGCCTTAATGCAAGAATATTTGTTAAATACAAAATAGTGTGAAATCAATTCCAACAGCATTCAACCTTTCTAATCTTTTATTAACCATTATTTGTGATGTTATTATTAAATCATAAGCTGATGCTGAAGGAATTTATTGGATAAAATTAGAATAAATGACTGGGGCTCAGCACTGTTTGTGGCTAAATGTTCAAGTGCAATTCTTCAAAGATTTGAGATGTTTTTGTTTTACTGGTTGCAGCTTTGTATCAAATCAAGCACTGAAAGCCACTCAAATTTGTAAATATTTCTTTATATGCATGTTCTAGTTGTTTTTTTTTTTAAGCAATCGTTTTTCTTATAGAGCCAAATTTTGGTATGTTGAAGTTGATGGGAATTCTGCCCAGGAAAGCAGCAGGGTCCCAGTGAGATTTATGCATGTGCTTGATGCTGTGTGATAGAAAAGAATTTAATGAAAACTTTGCCAAATGGGACCAGGAATTAATGCGGTCCAGGGAAACCCTGTTTGCAGCACTTGCCATTGCTAGAGCAAAATCCTTTGTTTCCTTCACCGCCACTCAATCACATCTCTAATTATTGTGAAATGTATTCTGAGAAGTGTAATGAAGAGCTCTGTTTTACAAGCTTGAAATTAGAGGGTAACTCCCTTGATACTTCAATTCTCGAATGTTCAGCTAATTTGCAGGTGTCCTGGCCTCATTAATGACTGCACTACAGAAGCAGGCTATTTTCAGGTGTTTCCAGGAGTACAGCAGCTCCAGCACTGTGGTGGTTGGGCTTTAGCACACAGCTTTGTAGCCTTGAATGGATCATTGCAAAAGGAGCTGAGGGTCAGCTTGGATTCCTGTGCTTTTCATTTGCTGTCTGTCTGTGGGACCTGTGCAGGCCATAAGGAAATCCAGTGTGGCTGTGCATAGGAGCTGCAGTTTGTCTTGGCTTTGTGCCATGCTTACAATTTCTCCAAAATGGACCCTTCAGGTAATGATTTTTTTGCAGCAAGATGAGAAAAAATGATGCCCTGCAGATATTATCTGCTGGACCAGGCAGAGAGAAGGAATGTGAAAAAAAAATTAAAATGCAGAGAAAGAGGGAAAAAGAACAGTCTGACAACTTTGTATAGTCTCAATCACTCTGTCACATAATGACCATCTTGGATTTTGTTGGAATGGTTGTTACTGCAGCACTACAGCCAGCATGGAACCCCTGAGCAGGCTGTGGTTCAGTGATCCCAGAGTAAGCAGGGATCTCTCCCGCACAGCTCAGTGCCCTGGCATCTCCCTGCCATTGGGAAGTGCATGAGGTGGGGATGCCAAGGGGTGAATGTGTTTTGGGGAGTTTATTACTTGCAGACATGAGATGCTGGGTGGTGTGGAAGCACCATACCCGCATAGATTCCCTGCATCTCAGACTAAATCAGAAAGGGGCAATGGGATGTGAACAACTTGTAGGAGATCAGAAGGGGATGTTATTAGGGAAGAGGGAGCTGGGGGAGCTTCCCACTGTGTCACCCATGCAGATGTATTACTCATGCAGCCACTAAAACTCACCATTCCTGGCAAGATAACCTAAGAATTATATGTATGAAAAATATATTTTACCCATTGACTTCCTGAATTACAACGATAATGAGCTTTACTCCCAGGCAAGCAGCTTTTGAGAAGCAGTGCATGAATAGTGTTATTTACTCTGCTATGCTGAAATAATTCCTTTTGTTTTCACAGGCCGATGCTGGCTGGATGCTCTGGAACTTGCCCTGCGTTGCTCCAGCCTCTTCAGGCTCAGTGCCTCCAAGCAGGGAAAGGATGGAGATGTGAACTGCTCGAGTGATTCTGCGCATGCGGGGCTCAACCACCTCTTGCACACCAGTGCTATGTCAGACCAGGAGTTCTTCCAGTAAGATGGGGCTGTTACTCCTTAATGCACAGAGAGGTGGCATATGGCTCAAACCTGAGTGTAATCTAGCCAGAGTCCACTGAGGAAATGTGTTTAAAAACCAGGCTGTGTGTTCTGCTGCTGCATGCCTCACTAATATATGAGCTGGGTGTTGCCACCTAGAGCTTGAACACACGGGCTGGGGGAAATCTCAGCTGTGTTTGTTTGTACATAAACAACATTTCTTCTGTCCCCTGCTTGGGCCAAAATGGTGTCTGGGGATGCCAGCATGAAAAATGGCTTGCTTGAGTAAAGATTGTAGAATCTAGCTGCTGTAGTGCACAGACACAGTCACTAACAATGTCTGTGTGTTGCTAGCACATATGGCTCTGAGTCTGATCTATTTTTTAATAATGTGTTCTCTTCCCTAGTAATACTATATTACAGTCAGCAGAGTGCACACACTGCATCCTTAGTTTTATAATTACTTTCTCTCTCTGCAGGGGTTTTGAGGGGTGTCCAATTTCTTCCTCGATGAATCAGATAAATTTTTATGTAAGGGGAAAGAAGTCCCCACAGCCTCCTTTCTATTCATATTCCTGGTATTACTGCAGCATTTTGGAACATCAAAGCTCTGTACACATTAAAAAGCCCCAGGCCTTTCTGTTGCTTATAGCTGAATAAGCAACTTCAAGACTCCTCCTGGTATAGACATTTGGCCTTTGGAGTGAGAACTGGGAGAGGTAGTGTCTATTTCTAGTTCTGCTGATTGGAATTTAACTTTCAGAGCAATGCACCATCAGTTATGCAGTTTCTAGGGTAGCAATTCTTGCAGTCTGCAAAGATGATGCCTTGCAGAGCAGGACTTCACTGTTAAGAGGTTTTCTTGGTCTCTGAGTCCTCTTCAGAGTGTGAAGGTATCTCTGGCCCCATGGGACCTAATGGATGGCAGCATTTCAGTCAGCCCTTTGCCCTGATAGGTACTGGTAATCCCAGCATGTGTTCTCCCGTCCTGCTGTTCAGGTTTTTATCTAGAGTTTGAAGAGAGCTTTACTGAAAAGCACTGGGAAAAGGAAAGGAAATCTAATATCTTACCACATCATGTACCATAGTACTTGTGCTTTCGGGCTTCTGTCATAATACTTTCCTTATGCCTGGGAGTCTTGTGCTCACTGGGATAATGAATTCAAGAATGCAGTAGGCTTGTTTTTTGGCTGATGGATGTGCATACAGAAGTATACCTAACATTAAAATGGAGCCTGTGGCATAGAGAACATTCAGGCAAACCTATGGCTACTGTAAGCTGATGCAGAAGATAGGGTTAAAACTGTAGTGAAGTATTTCTTCAGAACATGATGTGTGAATGCTGCTTAAGTGATGCCTCTATTTCACCTCTTAGGTGTCCAACATTAAAAGCCCCCTTGAAATATGGGAGTCAGTAGTAACAGCACACATGGCAGAGTTTTCAGCAGGACAGAGAACCCACAACTGCAATCAGATATTTCTTACAGGCTCAAATTTTAGCGAGTCTGGTTCAAGCTGGGTGTTCAGCATGTGGGCATCTGGACAGTACACCCTCCTTTCTGAGTCCTACCTCTGTTGGGAATGTGTACCCAAAGTCCCCAGTGCTTATACCCCCGGGGAGTTTGAGGGTTGCAGGACTGGAGGATGGCTTGCTGTCATCCCTGAAGGAATTAAGAACATTTAAATAAGGGAGAATGCAAAACCCAAACTGTGCAAGTGCTGAGCAAAGTGGTTTTGGTTTGCCAGTGACAGTGCCTTCCTCACAGGGATTCAATCATTCTAATTAAATGCTTTCCCTACAGGGAATCTTACCAATTAAATTGGCATGCAGTTGTTAGGGGGCCAGTTAATTACATTTAACTCTCTCTTCAAATTAGCCAAACTACTCTGTCAAGAACAGAAAAAGAAAGGGAAGATGATGGATATTATAGGGAGAACAAAACCCCCTTGGGAGCTGGCAGAAGCAGATTTTCTGTTGAGCCAAAGTTGCATTTGTCTTCTGGCTGCTTTGCTCCTTTCCTGCTGGGAAACAAATCAAGATTATACAGTGATTTCAAAATCCATGTCTTCAGTAGCATATAAAAATGACAGAGAGAACTGTGTGAGTGAATCAAAGGCTTAAGTATTGTACAAATCAGTGATTTTATACAAGAGACTGTTAGGGCACCAGGCACTCTTCTTTTCAATACGATGTTGTATTTCTTGTGGATTCCATGTCTTATCTCCAGCAGCCCCAGAAATCTGGCTGGTTACTTGTTTGTAAAAGCCATATTTTTTTTTCTTTGTTTTGTGTAGAAGAGCAGAATCAAACCCAAAGAAGTCCTGGTCACCAACTGATGTTTCCAGGAATGTCATTTAGAGAATAAAGCACTGCTGTAAGAGAATTCTAATATGCTGAAACAGTTAAATGAGCCATGACAAGTGCCAGGTTACCCATGTTCATGGTGGAAATCCAGTGCTGACTTTTAGCATAGTCATTTCCCCACCCCAGCTTTTGGAGTCTGGTCCAAGTCTCACTGGAAGCCCCTGGGAAGTCTTCACATTGATTGGTTGGCCAAGCTCATGGCATGACATTTATTTTTAGCATATCACACACATTCAGTGGTGATTCCCTTTGGAGAAAGAACCTGGGTGCACTTCAGCATCTTGTATTTGATCCTCAGAATGAGAAGCATCTGATTTCCCTTTGGTTTCCCAGAGTGGCTCCGTGGCTCTGGATGTATTAAGTCTTGCCTGGTTTGTGGTCGTGGTTAATCAGTGCACAGTTAAGTGGAATTTCATATGAATCTGATTTCTCTCTTGGACTAAATCTGAAATCCTTAAAAAAATATTAGGGTGGGGGGTGGTGGTGGTGAGAGAAAACGAAGAGTAATTTACTCCATTAGACTCCAAATACTTCCCAAATGTGAGGCAGGTGACACTGGAAAACTTGCTTTTCTTACAAATGTGAAATAGAAATGAGTACTACTTCTCAGCATGAACTAAAAGCCTTATAATGAACTGTTCTTTCAAGTATTCTTCCCCTGTGGAGAAGACTTTCACTAGGTCTAGGGAGCAAAGCAACCACAGACAACACTCACATGTTTACCTGACCATTGAAAAATTAAGAAATAAATTAGGTATTTAAATAATAAAAACCTAATTTTTTCCTGGACATCCAGAAAACAACTGTGATGAGGAATCATGGGACAATGTCTCCAGACAGCTCGCTCCTCATCTTTCTTCTGCTTTATTATTTTAAATTCATGAGTGTGTAATCTGTGTCTCCAGTGTATTTGGTTATCAGTCATTACATTTGCTGCCTGCTGGCTAAAAAAGAGAACTAACATCCTGGCACTAGAACAATGAAGACACATAATGTCTGATAGCAAATTATTAGTGCTGGTCATTGACTCTGATTAATGATCTTGGTTTTATTATACCATGCAACTGTCAATTAAAAAACCTTGTGGTTTGTATATATAAACACTGTATATGTGCATATGTATGCAGACATACATATATTTACAAATGGAATTAAAATAAAGGTTTTCTAAAGGCACAGAAAGCTGTAAGATGACACTTCCAAAAGAACTCTAGAAACTGAGCTCTGCCAGAAACTGAGCTGTGGCTGTCACAATGTGGCTTGCTTGGCAAGTTAAAAATCATGAGCTTATTTCAGTGCATAGTTGGAAGTTGAGATCTTCTGAAAAACTGATGCCAGTTCTGTGTTCTGATTCTTCTGTTGCTTTTTTTTTTTTTAATTTAATAGGGCTCTACCTAGCAGTGCCTAATTATCTTTTTAAAATAGAAAATAACAAGAACAGGGAAAAGAGCAAGAGTGGGAACTTTCAGCATTCATCCTTAGTAAAAATTGGAACATGGCCTTAATGGCCTGAGAAAATGCCCATCATGGAGAAGCTTGATGCTTGACAGAACATTCCCATGTATTGAGAAATCTTGGAGAGGAAGACAGTCTACAGGAAGTTACAAAACTCTTCAAGATCCAGGGCCCGTTTAGATCCTCTGAAACCCTTTGTATAGCTGGAATTTTTTTTTATTGCTCTATCCAAGAGCAATTTTTCATGAGGTCTCAGTCAAGAACTTTTCAGAGGAAGGAACAGCTGAGAAGCTCAGAAAATGGGAGTTAAGCCAGGCCATGGAAGAGGTAATCTGTCTGCAGACATGTATGAATGAGGAAAACTGTTTCCATTACAGATACCACTTGAAAAAAGTGCATTTAATGAATACTTTTCAGCACCTGACCTCTGGCGTGTGCAATCAGGTTTGCCAACTGTCATATGAACTACATCTGCTTTTTCAAGTGGAGATGCTATAGGTTACTTGAGAGAGAATTTTTGTCATTCTCTAAAGTCTGGATCACTGAGCATGAAGCTTGTCACACCCTCCATGCTTTCCCTTAGATCCTGTTACAATTTGGGAGTTCTTCTCAAATGCAGTTGTACACTCCATGCTTTCAAATCTGTTCTTCCACACAGCATCATCTGGGGGAAGCACATTCCCCAGGTTAGCCTGGTGGATGAGGGAGGGGTATGTGTGTGAGAAAATACTTGCTTCTATTAGTTTTTAAATTTGTCTTTTCTGGTGTAGGGCTGACTTAGGACCACCCTCTGTTGAAATAAAACAGCAATAGCACTGAAAAGAAAATGTATCCGGTAATGTCATATTTTTTCATATGTGCTGCATTCCACTGATTTCTGTAAAGGGAAAAATCTCTCCTGATGGATACTTCAGTTCTCTTCTCAGCAGTGTAGAGTTGTTGGAGTGCACTTGCTCTGTATCCCTCTGGTCTGTGGGCTCCCATCCAGAGCCAGCAGCAGGGCTGTGTAAGGATGGCTAAATGGAGCTGGCACATTTTGAAAAGTGCAGTTTGGAGGGGAAAATTATGATGGAAAATCTCTCTTTCTGTGATAAAACCCTTGTTATTCAGGAAATCAATGTCAGAGACTGTCCTGGTCTGCACACCCTATTCTGAGTCCTGGGAGTGTTTTTACTATGTTTTAAAAACCTTAAGCAATGTGGCTTTGTAAATCAGACTGAAGCAAGTAATGAACTGTGTGTTGCAGGTTGAATGAATCAACCCTAGAGAACAACCACCACTTGGAAAATGATGCTTTTTCAGACAAGTCCGAGAGAGACAACATAGAGGAGTCAGAGAATGAAGCACACGAGAACAGCCGGAAGACAAATGAAAGCGAGAGTGATCAGTCAGAAATACAGGGAGAGGTCTCTCCAGGAACAAAGGGGACCACTTATATTGAACAAGTCTATGAAGAATTTGGAGAGGTAAGAAAACAAAAATCTTGATTGCAGTCTGTTCCTGTTAAAATGTATCTGTTCGTAGTATTTGTCCTTCAGCCTTTTAGCTGTATTGCAGGTAACAGCCAACTTGATAAGTTCCAGTGTTTTACAGACAAAGCAAAGCACAGTTTTCTGCTAACTTACGTGGTGTTATCATTTAATAATTCTGTATTATGAACAGCAGCTCTGCTACTCTGCTTTGGTGTGTTTCCAGCATGAGTGATTGCTTTAACCAGTTATTGCACTAAAGAGCTGCACAGCATTGGCACATTCATGGAGCCAGCAGGAGGGGAGATTATCATCCTGGGCATGTGTCCTGACCAATTAGGGCACTCAGTCCTTGTGTGATACAAAATATGACACTTCCCTTTTATTATTATGCATGGAACATCCTTTTTTTTGTGTGTGTCTGAGTGGAGCATTTCAGCCACTTGATTGCTAAATGTCGCTTGCTTATCTGAAAGCCATTTCTCGTGACATTTAACAGCAGGAGGATGCATTTCTGTTTCACATAGAGCCTTGCTAGCTCATGTCACTGTGACACCTCTGAGGAAGGCAGTGGTAGAGAGCTGGGGTAGCCAAGTGTGCTGTGTGAGAATCAGTCCGAGCAGGCAGCAGAGGAGCTCTGCTCTGAGCACTCGCTTGCCTGCTGCTTTGAACAAGGAAGCTGAGGTCTTGTTGGTGCTTCATAGAAACACACTGCTGGAAAGATGTTTTTTCTTAGAGTCACAGAATTGTAGAGCAATTTACATTGGAAAAGACCCTTAAGATCAAGTCCAGTTGTTAACTCAGCACTGCCAAGTCCACCACTAAACCATGTCCCTCAACAACATGTCTACATGGCTTTTAAGTGCCTCCAGGGATGGTGACTCCATCATCATATGTTCCAGGCCTGTTCCAATGCCAGACAAGCCTTTTAGTGAAAAAATTTTGCTAATATCCCATTTAAACTTCCCCTGACATAGCTTGAGGCCAGTTCCTCTTCTCCTATCACTTGTTACCTGGAGAAGACACCAACACTCACCTCTCTGCAATCTCCTTTCAGGGGGTTCTAGAGAGCGATATAGTTTTCCCTCAGCCTTGTTTTCTTCAGGCTAAACCACCCAAGTTCCCTCAGCTGCTCCTCACAGGACTCATGCTCCAGATTCTTCACCAGCCTTTTATGTTTTTCTTTCAACATTCTCCTGAAAGTTTACTACTAATATTGACAAAAAAATATAGTCAAATATATCCTAATTACACCTAGCTTCTCTTCAGTGCACTTTTTTCCCCTCAAATCCTCTTGCAAACAAATGGCAGCTGGGTTCAAGCAGGGGATTTTGAACATAGATGAGTAACTATGCAGCAGCAAAATGAAAGCAAACTTAATTTCTGTCAGCTGCTTATTCTGAAATGACCTTTCTTCACATGACAAACTTATCCTAGAAGTGGTGGTAGGGCAGGCTGATATTTTGGTGTTTGAACAAACATTACAGGCTACACTGATGTGTTTATGTGGGTGTACGAGAGAAAGAGAGAGATCTCAGTTTTACATTAAAATAAGAAAAAAATGCACTACAAACCAAGTGAAAAAGATTGCATTTCTGTTGGAGAGTGACACTTCGTGTGGCATTAAATAAGTGTCTCTGTAGTGTGTCTGCTCAGGCACAGGTAGCATCCAGTGGGCTTCCAAAAAGAATTGTCATGTGACATTTGCCAGTGGGTGTTTTGTAAGATTTCTTCAGGAGGTGGGGCTGTCATCACCTGGGCCATGCAGGTAGGACTGGTTGTTAAGTCTGAACTCACTGATGAAAGGAATGTAGAAAAAAATAGGTTTGTACAATGATGTAACTCCCCTGGGTGGAGATGTAGCAAGGTAAACACATGCCAGAGGTGATGTCAGTCATCATCTTAAACTGAAACTGCCCTCAGCTCATGTGTGCAATTCAGGTGTGGCAGCACAAAGGTCACAAACTGGCACTGTTACATTTTCAGCTAGGCTTTGAGGGCTCATTTTAAAGGTGTGCACGTGGGCAGGTGTGTCGCTGTGCTCTTGGAAGGTGTTTGTGCATTTGGCAGTTTTGCCTTGGGTGCTGATGGAATGTGAAGGCAGAGACAGGTGTCAGAAGAACTTTGAGATTGCAAAAGTTGGTCTCGAACACAACACAGACACTTTGGTAGGTAGACTGATAACAGAGGGAAAAAAACCCAAAAAACAAAAAACATTTTTTTCAGGCTCGTAGTTTAAACAAGTTATAAAAAGGGTTATTATTTGAGGTTGTTCACATCTTCCTGCATATTTTTCTCTATTTATGTCCATCCTGTGTGCAGTGATTCATTCTGAGTAACACTTTGTTCAGCAATTTCAACATGGCATTAATTTATATTGACAGTACATGCACACTTGAGAACCCAGATAAATAATGAGTGTTCTGACAGACCTCTGCATTGTGAGCCCCAGGTGATACTGTGGTATTCCATTTCTCCTTGGGAGGTGCAAAGTGTGCATTGCATCAGACTGTCAAAAGAAGAATTGTACAAAAATTGAAAAGCAACAGAATAACAGAGCTTTGTTGTTCCTCAGTTTGAAATTCCCTCAGCCTGCAAGCTCTGCAGGAATGGTCAACTTGCTGTGAGCGTAGGGCTGAGTGGGAGGCAACATGGAGGCAATGCTCAGGTGGTGAAATAGAATGTTTAGTGATTTATACCACCTGAAAATCCTGTTGTGCTGTGCCTTCCCTCAAACCAAAGTCCATTCCAAAAGTAAATCTCTGCCTTTTTCTCATAGAAATCTCTTGCCTAAAATCAGTAGAAAGCCTAAGTATTCTCTTTCACTGTTAAATTATGATGCCTAGGATCCGTTAAGGTGGAATTTTGTTTGAAAATTTAATTTGCCTTCTCTAGTGGTGTGAAAGGCATGTTGCACATCTCAAAGACCCATTGAAAGCACAGGAACTACACAGGGCTGAAAGCACAGCATAACCCCTGGGTTTTTTTACCTACACATCTGCTGCAATGGGCTCTGAGCAGCATTGGCAGGTGCTAGAGTTTTTGTGCCTCTCACCTGGCAGTGGGGCCCTTGCCATATAGACACACCAGTTTGTCTTGTGTAGAAGTTGCAGGACTGCTTCTATTCTCTGTTGATTATTTGTTTACCACCTACATTCTTCTACATCTGTCCTAGTGGATCTTATAATCTCTCTGATGTTTGTGGAGAATGGGACTGAGAGGAGCTGCCTCTGTGCATTCCCCAGGCCGCAGGGATGCTGTAACAGCTCTGGGCATGTCCACCCCTCCTGAGGACTGCAATGCAGAGTCCCTTTGGCTAATGTTGGTCCAGCTGGCCCCTGACAGCCCTGAGGTGTGCAGACACAGTGCCTCAGGAGGGAGCACAACAGAGCTGTGCTCCCTACCTCGTGCCAGCCTTCCCAGACACCCAGGGCGTCCTGCACCACTCACTTGATTGCTTTGGGGATTCATTTCCACTGAGACATGGCTGATGTCTCTCTGCAGTGGTGTTGGTGAGCATTCACCCTTGTGCCAGGGCCTGGCGTGCATGGCTCCGCTTGGACCCCAGAGAAACGCGCCCACAGGGAATGGTTTTCCTGTTCCTGCCCTGAAGTTCCCTTTGCCTCTGTAGACAGGGGAGTCGTCTCAGACAGAAACCGTGTCTGAGGAGAACAAGAGCCTGATGTGGATCCTGCTGAAGCAGCTGCGGCCTGGCATGGACCTGTCACGGGTGGTGCTGCCCACCTTCATCCTGGAGCCGCGCTCGTTCCTGAACAAACTCTCCGACTACTACTACCATGCCGACCTGCTCTCCCAGTAAGCAGCACACGGGGTGGGCCTGACCTGGGCTCTTTTCCTGAATTTGTGAAAATACCTCTGTGTGTGCCAGAAAAGCTCCCAAATAGTACTGAGGTCACTGGCTTCAACGTAGATCAAACCAGACAGCAGCTGCAGTGACTTTTTACGGATAGACTGCTGCCAGTGAGGAGCAAGGAAGGAAAAGTTAAACTCCAGACAAACCCATGCACATGGAGGTGTTTGCCACTGCTGGGTGGAACTGATGGGAATTCAGCCAATGCCATGGAGTTGTGCACAGCAGAGCTGTGCCACCTCCTGGTGTGCTCGTGTACATACACGAATAGGGAAATAGAGCAACCAAAATTGTCAAGCACTTCTGTTCCCCAAAGCAATATAATTATGATGGTTGATAAACAAATAAGAAACATCTTTTAAAACTATTGATGGGAGCAGCCTGCTGGGAGCAGCAGAGTAGAAAATACTAAATGTTCTGCTTCCAGATAGGACCCGCCTTCTGAGTGAGATATGCCTAGTGGATTGTAAAACCAGGATGTGCAATATTCTAATAGCAGCACTAGTTACTCATTTTTATTCCACTTTCTCTGGGTAATTACAGAATCATGGTATTTTCAAGCCTTGTTTGTGGTATTTGTACCATCTGAAGTTAAAGAAATAGTTCTCCTCAGTGCAGATATGTAAGAAGACTTCAAGAGGTTTGGAGGTTTTGATAAAAAATTTTTTAATTTGTGGTTTGGGTGATCTTTCTAAATGAATTTTGCAATAATTTACCCAAGTTGATTTTTAAATCTGACTAAATGGTTGGAAATACCAGGAATGCCTTTGGTTTGGTTTACTTCCTGTTTCATCTCTGAGCATTGTTTGGAGGTGCTGGATGAGATGGCTTTTTGAAGTCCCTTCCAACCTGAAGTATTGCATGAAATCTCAAAGTACTGAAAGAGCTCATGGAGCACATCAGCTTTAAAGATCTTTTATAAAAGTGGGGGAAAAAAAAAAAAGAGACCAAAAAAAGTCTTTGATTTTGATGATATAAGTTTATTTTTATGAATCACACTGTTCTGCTAGCTGTGACTCAGTGCTAGTGTGAGTGACAGGACATTAACCTACTCCAATGTCCAATCATACCTGATACACTCCAGAAATTTTGTTGGTCTTTTTGCAGAAATGCAGGGCAAGGGGTGCCACTTTTTAACAATTTGTGTTGTATGACGTACATTACTAAAAATATATATATTTCTGCTGGGAGACATCTTTTTCACTGGCAGCAGCACAGAAGTTACTTCCCTTTAGTTGTGGGAAAATAGATTGAAATTGATGTTATTATACTGCTAAGAAGCTAATGTGATATGTGACCAGTATGAAGAACATTTTGTGTTCTGTTCTGCAGGGCCGTCCTTGAAGATGATCCATACACCCGAATGAAGCAAGTTCTGAGGTGGTATCTGTCCGGCTTCTATAAGAAGCCAAAGGTAAAATGAGGCATGAAATTGGGGTTGTAATGGGCATTGAAATCTTCTGTTGTGGTTTTGTTTAATTTCTCTTCTGCCTCTCCTTTGAGACTTTACCTCTTTTAGTGCTCAGAAGACTTTTACCATTACTTTTAAAACTGGGGTTGCATTTGGTTTCAGAGTAGACAGTGAATGCAAAATAGGGGCAATCAACCTCAGAGCCTTTGCACTGGACAGTTAGAAAGTAAAACTGGTCATCCACAAGTAACATGCCCTGAGATGCAAAATTTTTCCCTTTGCTGAAAGCAGGTCTTCTTTTCTCTTTTCAGGCCAATTAGTACCACTGTGCCTGATGTGCCCAGATCAGTAGGCCCTTACTGTGTATAGTAGCAACAATAATAAAGTTTGATCATCTTGTAAGGCTTTGATTGGGCAGTATTAAATATTAAAATGGTGGGAATAGCAGATTTATCCATGTCTGGGATGAAAAGATTAGATTAGATGGATATGTAACTAGTTCTTCAGTTTTTATACTTGTGATTGACTTTGTGGAAAACATCCAAGAAAAAAATTACTGTATTTTTTGTGGCCATCTGTAGCATTGGATTGCAAATCTTCATTTGTAGCAGGTTTTGATTACTTGGTTTTTCAGGGAATAAAAAAGCCATACAACCCTATTCTGGGAGAGACATTTCGCTGCTGTTGGTTTCACCCCCAGACGAACAGTCACACATTTTACATAGCAGAACAGGTGAGTTGTTGTTTGGATGCTCAGGTTGCAAACACCAGCCTGCTTGCACCTCCATGCACAGAAACACACTACTCCTCTCACCCTAGGAGAGGAACCTGGAGCTCTGTGTAAAGTGGCAGAGCAGAACCTGGGGTAAACTGGCTGCTGATCTTTTTTCTTTGCAGATTTACAGAAATTAGGTGAGGCTTGGTGGGCACTCAAGACTATAACAGCAGGTCTCCCATATATAACATCATTTTCTTCAATAAATACCTTTTCCCTGGGATTCTGCCCTACTGTTTTCTTATTGTTAATAAAATGGGGGTTGTGTTGCCTCTGTCAAAAGGGGCATACAACACACAACCAAATATTTCCATTTTTTATTTCTAACTTTCTTTGATGATTTTAATATGAGTAAATCGAGGGCTTATCTCTATGTCTTTGTGAGTAAATGAAGGGCAGAGCTCATAACTTAACTGGCCTAACAAAGTGTAGTTTGAGATTTATTGTGTTAATAAAGGAATCTGAAAACTGTGTGGCCTTTGGTAAAGGGACTCCCAGTTTCACATGCATTTTTCCCCTATTTGATTAGATAATTATAGCTTTGTTAAAATTTTTATTTCAACTACCCCATGCATTTCATGGAGGTTATTCAAATGCTGCACTGAAGTTCTGCTCTGTTTATTTATTGTCTTGAAAACATTACACTCTACCTGTTGGGCTGAAAGTAATCTCACGTGCACAAGCTCAAGAAAATACAGGACAGGGGAGAAAGATTAGTTGTATAATGCTGTCATACACAATGGTGTCATGTATTGTGTTCCCCTTTATTCTGCATCCCCCTCTGCTTGGCCTGTTCAGACTGCTCTAAATGACCCCTGCTTGTTTTTATTCTAGGTGTCCCATCACCCACCAGTGTCAGCTTTTCATGTCAGCAATAGGAAGGATGGATTCTGCATTTCTGGCAGCATTCTAGCTAGGTCCAAGTTTTATGGTAAGGCATTAAGTCTAGGCCTCTCTCAGGTAATGTCGTGGCATCAGTTTTGGTTTGTTTTTCAATCATCCCTGAGCATGTTAAGAGTTGAGAACAAAGGAATGGTTGACAATTCTATCACCGGCACAGCCTAAGTCCTTATCTTGGCTCTCCTGGGTCTTCCCCATTTCCACCATTTCAGTGTGACACCACTCTGATGTTAAAAGAAAAAAAAAGAAAAAGAAAAAAAAAAAAGAAAAAAGAAACCAAACAAACAAACAAACAAACAAACAAAACAAAAAAAAACCACCTCAGAGAGAAAGATTGAGAGCTTTAAAAATCTGGTTTTCAGAAGGCAAAGGCTCACAATAATGTATGGGATTGCTTGTATGCACTTGATATGTGCTTATGGACAAGTTACATTTCAGCTCTCTGGCACTCAGCCAACAAACACAAAATAGAATAGATGTCTCTGAGTAGATTTAAACCTTTATCTGGCTCCCAGACTCCTGTGGGGTTTTGAAGGTCCCCAGACCTTCAAAATGTCCTCCAGTCATTTAATATCAATGCAAACAGCACAACTCCGGGCTCTGAAACACTGTTGCTCTTGGAAATCAGTTTTTTGTTTAGACAAACATTTTGTAATTACTGTCCGCTGCTGAGTGCATTTGCCTAAACCTTTAAGATAGTCTTTGCTGTCCTTCTGGCAATTTCACTTGTTGCTTGGGATCATCCCCTGTTGCAGCAGACCTCTCCTTAGGGGTAGAAATGAGGCAAGATACAGACTGTCATTTAAAAATGTGGAAAGGGTCCTGGTTTATTCTTCTTTATAACTTAGCCATCTTGACTCTGACTACAGCAAGTTCCTACTGTTGGCTTCTCTGACAGACTTTGACTGGTGGCTACTCCTGCTGGAATATGACTGCAAGTATTTCCTTGCTGCCTCTGACCACAGGCTTTTACCGAGCTCAGCTGTGACTGCAGGTTCCCACAGCAGGCTCTAACTCTGTCAGACCCAGATCGACCTCACAGCAGATCTTTTGTAGAGCAACTCTTCCTTGTTTTGTTCTTCTTCCTCAGGGCTCCTCTATCTCCTCAAGGTCTTCTTCCTCTAGGCCTTCTTCCTCAAGGATCCCCCCGAGGAGCCAACTCAACCCCTTTATCACACTTATCTTTGTTAGTCACAGCTGCGACCCATTAAGGGCAAGGCTGTTCTTCTTTGGTAATTAGTACAACATTTGTTCTTCTTGGGTAATTAGTTAAACTTCGGTAATTTTGTACAACATTAGTACAACTTATCAGGGGCAAGGTCACTTGTTATTACAAAGTTACTTCTGCACCTACGATCCACAATCAGAAAAGTTGTGAGAACTGGAGGGCCTGAGAAACTTCTAAGTTCCCGATAATGATCTGTTAAATCTGCTGCTCTTTCTTCAAGAGGGGCTAAATGCCAGAGCAAATAAGAGCAGCAGAGTTTGTTAAAACTACCTGCCTCCAGCTGTGCATGATTTGCAGGGTCCTAAAGGTTGATCATTTCATCTCTTCTTTCATTAGTGATCTACATTTAAATGGAAATGCTTTTTTTAAAGTAGGAGGAGGGGCAAAATATAACATGACTTTTTAATGTGTATTTTTTTTTTTAAATTCTAGGCAACTCACTTTCTGCGCTGTTGGATGGAAAAGCAAAGCTTATGTTTCTAAACAGAGGGGAAGAGTATATAATCACGATGCCATATGCCCACTGTAAAGGTAAGGTATGACTCTTCAAATAGGAAGCAGAGTAACAAAATGGTGTCTCACTGACTGACTTTGCACTGGCTCTCCCCTGTCAAGGAGCTGACATCACAGGGCCTGGTAACTCCAGAGAGCCCAGCCATGAGTCACAGCAGGAAACCTTCAGTAATCGTCAGTGAGGTCTTTCTGATTAACCGTGCACAGCCCAGGAGAGAATTAGGCCCATCAATGTTAGTTTTCACACTATGCAGAAACAGAAAAATATTCCATATATGTACTGCAGATAAGATGAAAAGAAGAAGACTACATTTCTGAGCTTCTTAAGAGAAGAAGTTTTCATTATGTTAACATGGAAATTGCTTGATTTATTTTCTGGCTTTTTGAGGATAAAGGAAATTCCTGACTTCTCTTGCCATTTGTTTGATACTCTAGTCATTGTACTTCTCAGAGTATGAGCTGCCTCAGTGAGACTTTGCTCTGTGGAGCCAGTGTGTGCTGAGGCTGGGGCATGGCTGCTGAATCACTGCTCCTCAGGAAGCTCTGTCTGCATTATTTCCACCACAGAGTTAAAGTCACCAGTCAAATCCAGTTTTGGGGGTTAAATATTTTTTAATTTGGCTCACTGACTTCTAAGTGTGTATTTGGATGAGCCCGGGTACCTGAAAACGGTAACCTCATAATATCATGCTCTCTGTGAAGTATTCCTGTGCATAAATTTTCTTCTTACCAATTTTTCTTTTTCTGCAAAAGACCTTCAGCAAATGGTAAACATGTATAAAAAGTTCTCTACATGACCTTTAGTCTCCCAGATTCTGGTGAATCCTGTTACAGCTTCTCTCTTCTTCAGTCACCCTGAGAGACCTGACTGGGTCTGTTTAAGCACAAGTATGAATGAGGTTGCTGGGCACAACTTTCTTTATTTTTCCTGTCCCCCTGTCAGCTTGCCACAGAGTGCACTTGTGAGTGAAGCTATTTCCTGGCTGGTGTTAGAAATGGGGAATATGGACTCAGATTATTCCTGCTTATAGTAAACAGCCATTTCTTAGAAACTCCAGTTCTGTCTTTTCAAAACTTTAAGCCAAGTGATGACTTTCACAGTGTGTCAGCAAGAGCCAGGTTTACTTGAGAAAGCAAGTTGCTTCCCCTGGGGCTTCTCTTAAGCCTCTTTTTTCCTTTCAGGACTTTTATATGGTACCATGACAATGGAGCTTGGAGGGAAAGTTACCATTGACTGTGAGAAAACTAACCACAGGGCAGAACTGGAATTCAAGCTAAAGGTAAGATACATTAAAAATGGCCCTGTTTTGAGTGGGTCTCAGGCTTGCCCCTGTGCCCCAGGCAGGGTTAGGTCATTTCTGTACCAGCAATATATGTGAGCGCCAGAGTGGGGCCTGCCTGGAGAGAAGGTCTCACCCTGCTGCTGGTTTTGCCTCGTGCAACCCCAACTGACCCCAGCAAGCCTTAGTTTTACGTGACTTTCTCTGGCTACTGCCTAAATTTTGTTCTGAAAGTTTGGCAATGACAGTGTGGCTTCTGTTTGAGCAGGGATAATTATTTTTGCTTGCAAAACATAGTGAGTGTACAAAGAACTTGGAGGCGAGTTAGGATGTGCATCTTTGGGGTAGCTCTCCAGCAGCCATCACATCTGTACTCGTCCCTTGCAGGTGTCATGGTGAGCTGCACCTTGTGTTTCTCAGGGCTACAGGACCTTGCCCTGATGGCAGGGTGAGAGCTCATTGTCAGACAGGTAATTTTGAGTGGCTGGCACACTGAAAAGTCCTGCACTGACTTGTTCATGTAGCTAGTCCCTCCCCTGGAAAGCCTGGTGATGCAAATTCATGGAATGCAGACAAAATGGAGATATCTTTGAGCGTTCCTGTTATTAAATGGGTTAAAATTTAGGAGGGAAAGTGATAACCTGTAGCTTTCTTTGGGCAGTTAACTTGATTTTTAAGGAGCATCCTTTTCTCTTCTGCCCCAACAAACAATTTCTTGCCTGAGCATAAAATGAAAGGAGAACTGAGAGACTGCAGGACTTGAGAGTTGCAGCCTTAGCCAATATAAATGTGATAGATCACTGGAGTTACAGGAATGTTTTGTTAACTGTGAGTTGCTTGAGGGCAATAATATTTTTTTTGTCTTTATTTCCCCTACAAAGGGAACTCTTGCTCCTGTACTTCCCTGACATTCACACATACTTGTCTTTAAAGCCTGTTTTTCCCTGGTGGCCTGTTGTTGAGGCCAGTGGGATATTTCCCTGACTTGGGTGTCATCTCAAACCTACAAACACTTTAGAGCCTAAAGTGCTTCTTTTCTGGCTTGGAAACAGTATGAGTCATCAAAACATGTTTTTGAAAGGTCCAATGATGTAATTACATGCTCTGCTTTGAGCATTTCTTAGCTGTCTATTCTAGTAAACTGTGGGAAGTTGCAGGTAAACCCCTTAACTTTTTTTGATTTGGATATGTACCAAAGATTGATGTTTAAGATGTATGTGATTATTATATCCATGGGTGTTGTGTGAAATTTGGGTTTATATTGTTATTTAACACACACACACACACTCACAAGTTTGTACAAATGTTTTCAGAAAGTGCCTGCTAAAACGTCTGAGGAAGTGTCTTCTGTGAACAGAAGCATTTCCTGTGTTTGGCAGCTAGGAGATGAGTGGAATTTTCCATTGTTCTGGGATTTATTTATTTTTTTTCCTTGACTCCGGAAATATCCTTTTTCTTTGGTTTGTGGGTTTTTTTGGGTTTTTTTCTGTTGACCAGAGGTTGTTCACACTGGAGACTTGGGACACATGCTATCACCAGCAGTGCCACACTGCTGTTGCTGTCCCATAAGCAGGAAAAGTCCCCACTAGTGCTGCTCCTTTCCTTTGGACAAGAGTGCAAAGGCTGTGATTCTGGGCAGTGGGAAAGAGTTGTCCACGTACACTCATCCTGATGTGTGGCTGACAATAAATAAGTGTATTTCAAATTAAGGGGAGACCCTGCACTCCTGAGTGTTAATGCACCTCAGTGCTTATCTCCCTACCTGCTGCTGCAGTGTTTGTGGTATTACAAACAAAAGGAAGTGGGCACAATGTGAGACAGTCAAAATCCATGTTAGAAGTCATTCTGCCTTTCCCCAGAAATACTGTAAGTCTGCCAGCTGCACTTTCCTTCCCTCCTGTTGCATCTCTGTGTTGGCTCCCTTCTAGTCCTCACTAGACTGACCACGTTTGCTGTTTCTCTTCTCCCCTAACAGCCCTTCTTCGGTGGCAGCACGAGCATTAATCAAATCTCGGGGAAGATTAAATGTGGAGAAGAAGTGCTAGCGAGTCTCACTGGACACTGGGTAACATTTGCTATTCCAGGTTGCTGGCAGGTTATGAGCCCGTGCCTGCAGGGTTCGAGGGAGGGCTGGCAGCCCTTGGCGGGCTCCCTGCGCTGGAATGGGCACTGGGAGGGCCCTGTCCTGCCTCTTCCCACCAGCCCCAGGGCATGCAGGCAATCACAGCCTGGGCCACACCTCTTAAGGTACCTCTGGAGGTCATTTACGCTTCAACAATCCCATCCATCTGCAGTGAAAGGAGCGCTGCAGAGCCTGAGGAAGCTGGCAACAATAGGGCGGTTCTCTATCAAAGGCAATGGGTCTGTATTTAGGGTTTGAGGCTTAGGGCAAGCACTGATGGCAGGAGATAGTGTGTATGAGGTGTGACTGCAAAGACCTTGAGGCTGCCTTTTGTCTGCTGTGTTCAGTACTTCCCAGTTAGGCTGGGATTCAGGGAAGAATTTAGAGGGTTTTAAATTCATTATTTTCACAGCAAACCTTTATAGTAGAAGACAGTTACTACCCTGTTCATCAGCTGAGGGACAGAGACATGGATTCAAAGAGGGTGTTATCTCTTTGGCCAGCTCAGAACAGTCAGCAGCAAGAGCTTGTACTTGAGGTTGTCTCTGAGTGAATCACTTGTACGCAAGTGATTCACTCAGAGACATCCTGAAGCCAAAATCCAGCAAGAATGAAGTTGCATAATGAATGATGTAGTCTAATTTTGTTTGGAACTCCTGGTACCGAAAACAAAAGCAGTGAGCCTTGGCTTTGGGCTGGACATCTGGGTATTTCTCTGAGCAACATTTGGGCATCTACATGATCATTACAGTTGGTCTGTGCTCCCTTGCCAGTCTGTAGAAATTGCCATTTCTGAGACAAGATTTGTCTCATCTGAAGGAGGTATTTAAAGAAAGCCAGGTGAAAAGTGCCTGGATAAAGCCGTTACTATAGTGAGGTCCTAACCACAGTGTAGCCTTTGGTACTGGACTTGTCCTGGCAGGCAATCTGTCTTTTTACATAAAAAGCTAATGACCATTTTGAAATTGGGAGATTTTCCCTTTCTAAGCATGTACAAGGGACTTGCTCCATTCTGAGCTCCCTGTCCTGCAGGATGAGCCCTGCCAGTGGTGAGTTGTGCTGGGCTGTGGAGTACCTTGTCTGTGGTGGTCCTGCCAACCATGAGAGTCATCCAGGGGCTCTCCTGAGCCACGAGGTTGGGTGCTGCTCAGCTCCCAGCCTTCTGCTTCTACCCTCCTCCCCTGATCTTTGTCCTGGTTGTTTGTGATGCACAAACTGCAGTGATGTATAAAAGAAGTTAAATAGTTTTGGAATGGTGGCTCTGTGAGCAGAGGAGCTGCCGTGCAGTGGGGTAGGGATGGTGTTGGTTCTTCTCCTTCCCCACTGGGAGTACTGGCCTGCTCTCCTGGCTTTTCTCTGACACCATCCAGTTTCCTGACAGAAATCCCTGCATCTGAATGGTACATTCTCTGCCTCAGGAACTGAAAACCCACCTGAATAAAGAAGGGAAGTAAATCCCAATGCTTCTCAGTCCTAGGGTCACAGCAGCAGCTGAGTGCTTGTATATATGCTTGTTAGAGATGCGTGTAGTGGTGCTTGATAATGCCTGCCTACTTCATTCTTTCCACACTGGGGGTCTCTTGGAGACCTGGGATCAGTCCTGGAACTAGCATATGGGAACATGGGAGAGGAAGTAGTGAGGAAGCCTTGGGAAAAAGGAGCCAGGAATTTTGTTTATATGTGCTGGGTGGGAGGTGGGAGGAACAGTGATGAAAGAAGAATATCTTGGGGCTTCTGTGGGCACTCAGGTCTGAGGACAAGACTTCATAGAAGGAACCAGATCCTTTTTGACTCTGATTAATGATAAATGCAGCCACTATTTCTGGCAATGTCTTGCCTCATTCATTTCAGAAACTTTCAGGAAGTGTTCAGTGAGATTTTATGGGATAGAGGAGGAAAGAAGCCTCCTAAGCAGCAGGTATCCCTTATCATCATCCAGGAGCAGCTTTGATTTGTCAGGATTAATTTCTGCCTTTGTTTTCTGATTGTCATGAATTCATTTAATTTTCCTTCTCAGGATGGAGAAGTGCATATAAATGAGCAGAAAAATGGGAACACAGAAATGTTCTGGAACCCGACCAGCGAAGTGTGCAGGCAGAGGCTGAAGCGCCACATTGTGCTGTTTGAGGAGCAGACGGACTTTGAATCAGAGAGGTGGGGAGCTCGGGGAACATCTCACTGCTGCTTCTCTCCTGGGAGCTGGCTTCTCATCAGCAGGGCTCCTCCAACTCCTCAGCACAGTCCTGGAAAGCCATGACCTGCTTTGTTGGCACATGTTACCCAGCCATTTACCTGTTTCTTTCCAGACTATTAACTCTGGAGGGTTTCCATTAAGTACAGCTCTGAAATCAACCTGGGCTGAGAAATAGCGGAGGCTATCTGCTTAAAATAACAATTCTGCCTGGACTCCAGAGATTTTTTTAACTGCTGGAGCATTTTATAAAGGGGCAGGATGCCATCCTGAAGTTGGATACCTTGTTAAGAAGGGTTATTTCAATCACAAGCTCTTAAAGTAAATGTAGGAATTGTGGGAAGTCCTGGCATCCGCAGAGCAGTACTTGAACCACATAACAGGATTTTATGAATGAATGTAATTAAACTGATGTTTAACCTTGCCTCATAATCTCAGCTGAGATCTCCAATGCAGTCTGCACCAGGCTTTGTAGGCTGATCTAGGTTACATAAAACAGGCGCATAACTTAGTGTCGAGTTTGACCCTGACTGGATGCCAGGTACCCTCTCTGCAGCTGGACAGAGGAGAGAAAATTTAATGAAGGGTTCATGAGTTAAGGACTGTGAGAAAATAAATTGTCAGTTACCATTGAGGACAAAACAGACTCAACAATAAAATAAATTTATTGCTAAAAAAATCAGACCAGGATAATGAGAAGTAAAATAAGCCCCTAAAACCACCTTCCCCCCACCCCTCCCTCCTTCACAGTCTGCCTTCTGCCCCAGTAGCACAAGGAGACAGGAGGGTGGGCGGTTCAGTTAGTTCATCACCCGTGGCTTCTCCTGCTGCTCAGGAAGAGGAGTCCGTCACTGCTGCACTGTGGAGTCCCTCGCACATGATACAGTTCTCCATTTACTTCTCCAACATGGCTCCATCTCAGGAGCAGCAGCTCGCTGCAAACTGCTGCAGTGTGAGTCCATCCCATGGGTAACAGTCCTCTCCAAACTGCTGCAGCATGGGTCACTTTTCCACAGGGTCCTTCATGGACAGGCTGCTCCACAGGCTGCAGAGGAATCTGGGCTCTGGCACCTGGAGCACCTCCTCCCCCTCCTTCTGCACTGACCTTGGTGTCTGCAGGGCTGTTCCTCTCCCATGTTCTCACCCTACTCTTCTCTAGTCACAATTAAAACTGTGCTACAACCTTTCCTTTCTTGATTTCTTCCTCAGTATGTCATCACAGAGGCCTTACCACCACCCCAGTGTTGGCCAGCAGCCATATTTGGAGTCTGCCAGATGTTGTGGAAGCTACTGGAGCTTTTCACAGAAGCCACCTCTGCAGTACCCCTGTTGCCAAAAACCAGGCCATGCAAACCCAATACAGTTAGGAAATGGAGGAAGTGAATAATGCACACTGCACATTTGTTGAGCAAGAGTTGAGCAAAGTTATGTGGAGCTGGCTGGCTTTAATGAAATTAGTTGTGCTTCCTCTCCACTACAGTCAGCCAGCACCAGCCAATATCCCAAGCCAGCACATGTGGTTGCTGCCTAGCTCTGCATTACGTTATGCACTTCTCTGTGGACATCTGATTTTGGTGTTGCATCATGTCACCCTAAAAAGATTCCCCTTTTTATAGGTAAAGAAAGGGATTGCATGAAAATAAAAACACACAAAAATTTAGTTTGGACAGTGATGCCTCAGGTTTTAGCTTTTATATATTTTCAGATTCTGTACTGCTTTAGTGTAGTACTTCTGAGCTTCATATTAGGGGATGGTGAGCTCTCTTCACAGAGTAGGCAGACAAAACAATTTCTTCTCTAGCTGGGGACCAAAGATGAATAATCCAAATTTCAGGCCCAAGAGCATAATCAACAGTAGACTGAAAAGAGGAGAACAAGAAGATTGGGACTTCGTAAACTAAACTTATAATTGGACAATTAACTTCAATATGCAAATGGACTAGAACTTATAAAAGTGAGAGACCCCGTGACCGGTCGTCCATTTTGTGACCATTTTGGGTTCTTCTTGGGTCTAGCCCTGGCTAGGCTCTTGTGCTGCCCAAGGTGCATCCATTGAGACCTTTTAATAAATCCCTACTTTATTCTTTAACTCCATCTAGCCTCTGTTCTAGGTCAGCCTTCACAAGGCATCAACAGCAGTGGGCATTATGAGCAATAAAGTCTGTATTTGTAACTTACAGAGCAGACATGTTAACTCTGCAGAGCAGGGCAGACTGCAGTACATTTTTAATCTTCAGAAGAAGATTCTTTTAAAGGAGAATCTTGGTCTTGTGGGCAAAGAATCTCCAGTTCTGTTTAGCAGAGTTTATGGCTAGAGCTGGCTCCCTTTGCTACATGAGAGATTAATAATGTTACATGCATCCAAGAGAAGGAGGATAAAGGAAAAGTTACAGAGTTCCCTAACAGACATTCCATCAAACTCCTTATTATGCTGACAGTTGCATGACTAAATTGCCATCTAATCCAGGTTGTAGTCTCCCTAAATTGCTTAGTCTTCCCTGCAGTGCTGAAAATCACCTATTTTCACAATTGCTGGGGAATCTCTGAAGCTCATACTGTGGTGCAGCTCACCATGGAGGGTCTCATTGTCTGACACATGCAGCTCTTGATGGAGTTATTTGCCTTTGTCAAACAATGTTGTGCTGTCCCTCTAAGGTTCATAGAATTAGGGGACTCACCTCTCTACCCAACTGCATTCCTTAGGACAGGCTTTACACCACCACAATGTATTCTCAGGCTGTTATTTTACTCCTCTCAGCCCCATCCCCATCGCTGAGTTTCCTTCTTTTGTTTCTGGGAGAAATTATTCATACACAGAAATAGGGGAGTGACTTGTTAAAAATGAAAAGAAGGCATTGCTTTGCATCCAGTTACTTATCTAAGAGGCTGCATTTTTTGAAGTGCTCTGTTAATGTATGGTGATAGAAATATGATGAAAGCTTCAGGATCACTTTTAAATTAAGAGCTTCACAGCAAGCTCCAAATTAAATGCAGTAATGAATTCACCTTCTAAATGGTGGATGGGTGTTTTGTGGAGCTGAGAATAACGGAACAGCTTGGATCTCCTGTGCACATTCTAAACACTAAAACATACAGTAACATTTTGGGAGGGCTAGCTGCTATACTCAGAAGTATTTCCAATCTGAAATGAAGATTAAATTGCTCTGATTAGAGGAGCTGTGGAGAGGCTGATCACAGCTTGGCTATAGTAAAAAAAAAAAAAAAAAAAGGTATTGATTTTTCTCTGGTAGAAGGCAGATGCTTCCCCAGGGCAGATGCTTGAGAACAACTCATATGACTGATCACTTATCCTTTGGCAGCTGCAAACAAGTGTGAGTGAAAACCTGTGTTCATGCTTGCAGCTTGTGAGCACAAGGACATGCTTGTTGCTTGTGGATTGAATCAGCTTCCTACAAATCTGGTTGTAAATCCTGTATAGGAGGTGCATGTTCAGCTACAAGATGTGCTCATAAATTCGTTCCAGTGCTTCTAAACTTTAAAGACTTATTTTGGGGATAGACATTGACACAAAGGCTTCTAAACAGGAAAGGATAAGGAACAGATTCTCCATCAGTCACCTCTAAAGAGGCCACAGATCCCAGTGAGTTGAAAATCACTTCCTTATGACTCACACAGACTGAAGAATTCAATAATTGTTGTAGGTGATGTTGTCTAAGAGAAAGTTCCTTCAGCAAGTCACTCATACAGCATTCAGTGTTGCCTTTCTCAGTTTCTTTAACTTAAAACAGAGGCTGAACAATCCTGGTACAGTTCCACTGGTGTATCAGTAGACCCGAGAAGTTTCAGCTCTAAAGTTCCAGCTGACAAAATACATTGCTGGTTCTAAGGTGGTTTAACTTCCTTCCCTGATTATTATTATTCCTAGGCTTTGGCAGCATGTTACCAGTGCAATAAACAAAGGGGATCAGCACAAGGCAACGCAGGAAAAGTTTGTGCTGGAAGAGGAGCAGAGGAACGCTGCTCGGGAGCGGAGGGAGAGCGGCACGGAATGGAAACCGCTGCTGTTCCGGCACGATGCCGGCACCAACGAGTGGCGCTACAAATACGAGGAGTGAGTGCTGGGCTTGGGGTTCCCAACACATCTCGCTGCCTGAGTTCCCAGGGAGGCAAGCAGGGCTACACACCTGTCATTGGAGCCCTACCATTCCCCAAAACTATGTCCAGAGCTTGCCCTTTCTGAACTCCATGTCGTCATTAGAATACATATTCATGATACTGATTGGGAATAGCTGGAAATGAGGGCATGACAATGGAAAATCCACTGTGTCATTGATACAAACTCCTATTGCTGCAATCAAGTGTGGAGTTGTTTAGCAGAGCTTTTCTGCACTGTTCAGAGCATAGTTAACAACTGTGCTCTCCTCCCCTGGGCAACAAGGGCAAAGCCTCTGGAAACTGAACCCCCTCACTTATTGCAAGGAGCTGTGAACATGCAGGGAACTTTCTGTTCGTCCTGTCACTGTGTCTGGAAAGTCTGGCTCCTGTCAGGGATGATTGCCTGCCCTGATGCATGTGGAATTAGTGTATTGGCCTAATGTGGGATTCTTGCTTTTCTGATGAATTTTTTTCATTTGGTCTCAAAAGTCTAAGACCTTGGGATCCTTTGAACGACATTGCCCAATTTGAGAAGGATGGAATACTTCAGACAATGGAAAGACACTTATCCACAAGGATGTCAAACCACAAAGCAACATGCATAAACAATCAAATTACACAGCACAAGGTAAAAACCCTGTTCTGGGGATTATCATATTCTTTATGATTGTTTGGATACACAGCTCTTTTTCTACAGCATTTTCATGTAAGCACAGCATAAGCTGAAAATTTTGTTTTGGGTAAATATAGTTTGTGACTCTAGACCTGCAGTATTATACCATTATTAGCTCCAAAGAATTGTAATTACTGAATCAACTCATTCTATCAATTTTGGCACTTTTCTTCCACCCAATGCTAGTGACAGTGACTCTTACACTGAATTTTGCATATGACTGAGTTTATAGCTAAAGCTTGTAGTTAGTTTTATATATATATATATATATAAAGCTTATAGTTAAAGCTACAAAAATAATAATTTGGATAGATTGGTCTTAAGTATCTTAATTATCTTAATTTGGATAGATGTGGTCTTAAGAATGTTGTCACTTGGGGAAATGCTTCTGTATGAGGAACATGTATAGTATCTTTAAGCTGCCAGAGTCCAACTACCAGGAGCTGCTGAGAAAGCAATCAAACTTCACAATCTCACACATATTTCCCAGCCCCCCAAATTATTTTATTTAAAGCAATCACACACCTCTTCAATGTGAGAGACTGGTCACATCTAATCCCTGTTTTATCCAGAGGTCTGCCAAAGACTGCAGGCGCCGCAAAACCAGTGATCAGCCATCCAACCACAGCCAGAACACAGAGAGCAGCTGTTCAACGCCAGAGTCAGTGCAGGAGCTCTCAGATGATGATGGCAAGTATTTGGGTGTCACTGGGTTAGGCTTTAATGTTCTTGCCTTGGTACTTTATTTCTTGAGCCAGCCCTAGGACATTTCCCAGCCCTGTTAATACCATGGGCCAACAGCCCACAGGCAGCACAGAGAATGTTCTGCTCTTCTGTTCTCTGTATGTGCTCTTTCTGCCTTACAACAAGGATTTCCCAAAATTGGAAAAATACAGTGGCATTCCAATCAGCACATAGGAAACAGGCTGTGTTGCTCTCTCTTTTCTTTGCCTTTGTTAGAGGTGACCTTGAATGTTTGAGAGAGTGAGCAGGTGTGAGCACTCCCTTCTCCTCCCCTCAGCTGGGGAGCATTGTTTCCTTGGAGCTGACTGAGAAGCACCCTGACCCAGAGTCACAGAACCTCTTACAGTGGCTTGGATCTTCTGGGTGGAAGATTCTGTTCCCTGTCTCCTTCTTCCTATGTTTCCTCCTGAAAATGTCCCCCCTAGCAATGACAATTAGTTCACAGCCACCCACTTGCTGTGTTGTGTTTCACTACCACCAGAATGGTGATGCAAAACAAAATTGTCCTTCAATACTTTGCTACAGGGTTTGAAAGCCTGTGCGCTCAGTGTGGGAAAGAAATGAATCACCTGAAGGAAATTCACTCAGCTGTCTTATCCCTACAGAAAGCCCAACAGGACATACACAGGTAACCATTTTCTGTCATGAATCAATGATTTTAATGGGCTAAAGATAACTTGTGGCTTTTAACTCCTTATTGTGGTCTTTAGAGTGTCTCTGTGAGCTGCAGGAGTGCAGTTCATGTTGTTGCAGGTAAAGTAACCACTTACCACACCAGAAAGACAAATCCACACTCTGCTTGAAACAGTTTACTTCCTCTTAACACTCTCTTTTTTGGGCAAAAAGCACCACCTCAGGATGTTACTCAACTCAAGGTACTCCTGACAGAGAAGGACAGGCCACGCCCTGGATAGAAATAAATCTCAGCCAGGCAATAATGTGTGAGGTCTCCCTTCCGGTCCCGCATGTTAGGAATTTCTTCAGTTTGCCACAGCGATGCAAGGGTGTGGCCTGAAAAAATGGGCTCCATGGAGAAAAGCACTAAACTCCAGGTTTTTGTACAAATTGGTGGTTGCTGTCTGGGGAGCAGTAACCACATCTGCTGCTGACAGAGGGCTTTGCCCTGCAGACTCCTGTGGGGAGCTATTAACTGCTGCTTCTGCTCCAGGGAGCCCTGCTGATTACCCTCTGTGTGAGGAGTGTTATCCAGCCCTGCCAAGGCTTCCATGAGGTGGGATCACACATGAAGCCTAGCCTTTCTGGATGCCAGAGTCATTGGTGATGTGGTTTTAGCTCCACTGCAGCTCCTGGGGGTGTCCAGGGCAGGTTTGGGAGGGTTAGGGCACAGGTTAAACTCACAGAGCTATGATTGAGTGTTGGATGAAGAGATTTCTTGGGGTTTGTGCCTTTCCCATGCCAACCAGCTGCAGCCAGAAGCACTAATCTTCCTGTTAAAAAGAGGGAGGCAAAGTCTGGGGGGGCACACTGCTCTACCCCTGAGGATGTCACCAAAGCACAGGGTTCCCTCCTGGTGTGGAAGTCTGGGTATGCAGACATGTGAAGGCACGCCTGTCTCCAACACACAAATAATCGTATTGCTTTCTTTTGCAGAAACCTCAGCGCTCTGAACAAAAAGTCCTTCCACAGGAAGGCCTCTTCTGAAAGCTTCCTCCTGGACTCTCGCTGTTGGTTTCTCCTCTGCATCTTTCTTACGTGTCAACTCTTCATTAATTATGTCTTCAAATAAAATCACTACGTTTGGCAGCAATAATGATCACTGGCTGCAGGAGGGGGCCACTCGCGCAAGGAGCCCAGCGAGGCACCAAAGCACTTTAGAACCAACACGGCAGAGGTGGAAGGAAGTGGAAAAACGAGGTTAAAAAGGGACCTAGGAACCTGCAAAACTTTGTTCCTGCAGATTATGTCATTTTTGCCTTTTACATGTACATCTTCAAGGACCTCTTAACCTGTATGGGCCTTAATGCTGAAGCCAAATGTAGCTTTAATTGTGCAATTTGTTTTCTATGTTTTGTCATTTTCTGATGCAATTAATAATTACCCAGCAGTATTGGTAACCCCGAAATGGTAATCACCTCAACATTTTGGAAAAGTCACGGTGGCCTGGGTCATAGCTCCAGGAGTGAGGCAGAGCAGCTGGGGAGCTGTAAAGAACTGATGTCCACAGTGCCTGTCTGGCTGCCTTTAATTACAGGAGGGAGAACACTTGGTCCAAAAAATCCAGCCCTGGGATATTAAGTCATGATCTGTTTAGTCAGCCCATGCAGAATGGGACCTCAGGATGTGCTTTATTTTCCATTCCACAGAAACTGTAAATATACACAATTTTCCTAGAGCTGTTCTGCTTTAGGAAATGGGAGGTATTCAGTGAAAGCTCCTCGTCTGGTTACGGAGCTGACTGGTGTCCTGGGTCTGGCCCATCGAGTGTGATGTCAGACACGCACGCCTGTTTGTAAAACCTGGTCACTTACTATTATTGTTATTATTTGCTATATGGCTGTTTTATAATATCACACACTAGCATTGTAGAGAGAAATCCACTGCCCCAGCATAGGTGAGAAGGATGGGAAGGATGTAGGTGTACGTGTGTTCGGTCTTAGGCACATTTATTGTCAAAGGTCAGGAAAGAGGGAGGGTTTTGCCACTGCATTGTTCAACCCTGTTAATAGTCTTCCTATTTTACACCATTTTTTAAAGATTTGCAATATTTTCTGTAGACTGCAGACAATACTAAGCCTTTCTTTTCTGGCCTGAAGTAGTTCCAAGTGGTAAGTACTGCTATATATACAGCCTTAAAATACTTAGTGGTGGTGCCAGTCTGGGCTATCTTTCAATGTAAATGTTTCCAAATTTTTAAGTACATTCCTTGTCATATTCCCCAGTTAGGGGAAACCTGTTTGTGCTTGATATGTTGAAATAAAACTACACACAACTTTCAGTGGCAGTCTATCTGACAAATTATTTTTGGGTTTGCATTTGATAGTATTTTAAAAGTAAATTACTTTCTAGAGGAAAATCTTTAGGAAATTGCCTCTAAGAATGTCAGACCTGGGCCATAAGTTAGAACAGCAATAGGAGTTTGATACCACTCTGGCTGAAATTGTCAGAAATTGTCAGAAATTGTCTTCTTATTGTAGCAATTTCCACAGAAAGAGAAGTGGTTCCCTTGATTTTCACTTTTGTACATGCAAATGTACAAACTTATCTGGGACTTAGGAAACCTTTATATCAAGGACTTGAGGATAGTGAATAGATTGTTCCACAGAGAGAACTGCAGCTCTCTGATATGAGCAGGCAGGGTAAGAACCAGCATCTGGAAGCTGACATTCAGGAAACTGACCACAAATGCTAAAGAGTGAGAGTGGCTTTGTTATTAGCAAAAGTCTCCAGAAAACCAAAGCGTTCTTCATCCTTGAGGAAACATCCTTGGAGAATATCAACATTATTGTCACAGATTGGGTGCCTTTTTGAAGGATGTCATCCTAGTCACTCTTTCCGAGGAAGTCTGACCTGTGCCACATGTGGTGTAAAACTCAGTGAGAGTTTTCAAAGTGTTTGCTCCTCTTTGAATGTATGGCAGAGTATGGATGTAAAGCTGTGCAAACACATCCACTGATCTCCTTGAAATGCTTCAGCAAGTCAGCACATCTCTGGCCTATCAGCACAGCCTTCCTCGTCACTGTCATCCTGGGTTTGGAGCATGTGTTTTGAGTCATGGATAGGAGCCTCTCCACGTCAGTAGGGCTGTTTATATCTCTTGGGTACAACTGTATCCCAGCTTTAGGAAATGGTTACCAAACAACAACAGAAAAAAACCCAAACAACCCAAGCCCCCCGAACCAATGAGAAGCAGTACTGAGCAGGAAGCCTGCAGTAGGTGTAAATGCAAGTGCTGGAAATTGTTTGAATTATTCCCATTTTACCAAACTATGCACCCACAGGGATTGCACTAGGACTCGTAACTGCAGTTGAGTAAAATAAACAGTTACCACAAGAGCAGCAGTTCAGTGAACAAAACTACCAACAAGTTAATGCAGCATCAGCAGAGTTTCCAACATTTAGGGGTGCTGCCACAGAGGATTAAAAAATAATCCAAAAGGGAACAGCCTATGAATCCTTGTGTCATTAAGTTTAATCCAGTTTCAGCAATCTGGAGATGAATGTTCCTACATGCTAGTTACATGCACATGGGAAATGAAAATTATTTTTGAGAAAAATCATGGCCAGAAACGTTATTTCTCTGGGAGGAATAACTACTGAGGAGAAATATGGGAACTCTTTTAGGGCTTCAGAGAACCCAGTTATTTGCCCTTCTTTTGCGCAATGTTGGGGAATTTCTCCTCACAGCCTTTCCCGCCGCTTTTTGTGCTCAGGGTGGACAGCCCTTCGGCACCTGCGGTCATTAACTGCGGTTTCTGCCGGAGTGAGGCGTCGGCCGGCAAGGCCGCGGGGAGAGGCGGGGCGCTCCCGGCCCCACCTGCGGGAGAATAAGAGCGGCGGCGGCGCAGGACGGGCCCAGAGCGATGCGGGCCGTCATGGGAGCCGGGCGAGCGGTGGGGCTGCTGCTGGTAAGTGCTGGCTGGGGCTCTCTGGCCCGCTGCTGCTGCTGCGTGCCGGCCGGGGCTCTTGGCCGGCAGGGTGCGGGCTCACCCTCCACCTGCCCGCCGCGAGTAGCGGCTGCCAGCCGTCCGCAGCCAGAACCCAAATCCTGGCTTTTGAGGCGGAAAAAGTCTTCCTCCAGCTCTAGCGTGAAGGAGCCTTGTGGGTTTATTCTGTTCTTCTCTTCTTCAAGAGACTTCGGTAACTTTCCCGAACTTTATTTTGTCCTGTTTGATGTCTCGGGAAGCGCGCGGCAGCGCCACTCCCGCGAAGCAGCGCCCTCTGGGAATGCCGTCTCCGCATCTCTTCTACTCTTTCCTCTCTCCTCGGAGGAAAAAAAAAAAAAAGTTATAAGTCAGGAGTGAGTTCTTTAATAGTCCTCGGGTTATTTAAGTCTGAAACTGGAAGTTTTCTCACCTCCCCACACTAACGGGGAAGATTTTCAGTCTACCGGGGAGAATTTAGAGAGCGGGACCCTCTTGGTTTTAGCTTAGAAGTCGTCCGCTGGTGACAGACATTAGTGATCGGGTGCTCGGTGGCGGTCCCACCCCCACCCCACCAACCCCCACCCCACCAACCTGCTTTTGCTCCAGAGCAAAAGCTGTGACTCAGCCGCTGCCAGCACTCGCTTTCCTTCCAAGCCCTTGCAGCTGCCGGGACTGGGAGTCTGCGCGGGAGCCCTGTCCGGGAGTCTGCACGTTCCTTTCCCTTTAAAAAAAAAAAAAATCATTCCCAATTCCCTTGTAGTGTTGCTGATGACTCATCTCGTCTTCTGCCTAAAAATTAGAGCCAGTGAGACATGTTGCATGGGTCTGTGGGGCGTTTCCTGAATTTTGCGGGAGTGAGACTGGCACTGATTCTGATGAATTAAAAGGATGGGGGAAGGTAGAAACTAATCCCTTGCGCACCGCAGAAACTTTGGCGTCTGCAGCTCAACTGCTGTGAGATAGTGGAAAAAACCCAGAAGATTATATGGAGACAGGAATGTGGTGCAATAGTTGCCTAAAGCCCATCAGCCGCTGCATGGTGCTGCCTTAACCCCAGCTTTGTGATGGCAATTACTGCTGTGAGCACCACTTAGCAGAAATTAGTTGGGGTTTCCTCTGTGGCTTCCCATAAACTTCTGAATGAGTTTCCAAGTCTTTACAAGTTAATCTCCCCAAGATAGTTATCGTGTGCACAGGGGATGAATCACTCAAGTGGCCGGTTGCCTCCGCTGTAGGTTGTTCTCCTGACGATGCCTAGAGCCCGAGCGAACTGTGGGGAGGGAGAGTACTCCCATCAAGGCCTCTGCTGTCCATTTTGTGAAGCAGGTAAGACTTTGAGCAGTTACAGGTGATGGCAATTGCTTCCTCCATTGCATGCTATGAAAGTGTAAGCCTGATTGGAGCTGTGAGGACTCCTTGGTGCTGTAAAGGCTGGGCTCCATTTTGAAGTGAGAGTCCCTTAATGCAACAGGTGATGACTGGGAGGGGTGCTTTGGCATCAAGCCAGGAAGCCTTTGCTTGTGGTTGAGGATAAAGTTTCTGAAGCTAAGTGATTTAGTTAGCACAAAGAACAGCCCTAGGGGAATTCTGATATTTCTGTGTCTGTAAGTTTTGCTCTCCTCTGCTTGGTCAATGTGTGCAGAGCTAACAAGTTTTGCACCGCGAAGAAGCCTCTCATTATTATCAGAAGCTTACTGGTGCATTTAGGTATGGTTCAGACAAAGGAGAAAAAAGTTTATTGGAAGCAGTTCTCCCTGGGCTTGCCCCATTCCTTCAGCAGTGGTACCATCCACAGGCTCCCTGCCTGCTGCAGTGACTTATCCTTCCAGCAGATGCCTTGCTAGATGCCTCAAAATAACCTCAAGATTATTTTGCACCTCTCCCTTGTCTGAGCAGCAAATTGCACGTGTGCCTCCTGACTCTCCTGTGCCTCTTGGTTTGTGTGGCATGCGATTGATTTGCAAGGAAGAATTTAACTTCTCTCAGCAGTCTGTGTTGTAATATCCAAGTTTAGCCTGTTGTAATGTGAGTTTAGCCCTGTGTCTGTCAAAAGATCCCCTGAGATTGCTCTGCTGTCACTTCTTCTCACAGGTACCTTTGTTGCTGATCACTGCAGTGCTTCACATGTGAAAGGAAGATGTGACCCTTGCGAGGAAGGAAAAGGCTTTACTGCCCATGAGAACGGCTTGGAGGAATGCTTGCCTTGCAAACAGTGCAAAGAGGGTACCAAACCTTATGAAACCTTAACAATTTCCCCCTTTTTTTAATGTGGTCTTCATTGAGCATATTCAACTTAAAAGTAAGTTGCCTTTATGGTCTGAGTATAATCTTTGCACTTGCTAACTTAGATTTTATTTTTAGATCAGGTAACTCTGAGACCCTGTAATCTGACACATGATGCTGAATGCCAGTGCAAACAAGGGTATTTCTGTGAAGATGAGAGCTGTGAAATGTGTCAGAGAATCAGTCAAGAGTAAGTTTAAGTTGCTATTTTCCCTCTAGGGAATGTTAGAGCTGTGGCCCAATCTGTGCCAACAGCTAGCACATGTCATCAGACTGTAAATAATTGCCCTGAAGCCAAATGGCATTATTCATGCATTTAAATTTTAGGTGTCAAAACCTGTGATGTTGAGACCTAGAAAGATGTGGACTTGGGTATCATTGTGCTTGTTGCTTATGACTGTAAACTCACATTTTTCATATCTTCAGGTTGGTATTGCCACAGAAACACACTTGAATGAACTTTTTAGCACACAGCCTAAAATTTCAGTATGTAGACCTACCTGTTGAAGGAAACTAACTGTGCATGAATAATGCATATACTCTGGGTTTTTTTCTTTTTCCCCTTCCACTTAGAAGCTAACGTACATTAATTTTATCTGCTTTGCTTTTATTTTATCTTGTAGTCATATCTTGCACTGTTTAAAGGTACACCTCTATCAAAGTTTATGCATGTTCCATTCATGGTTCTGAGCTCTGTCTGAAAAAGAATCAGGCCTGGACAGAGCTATGGACGGATCTGGAAATGTTTATACAGTGTTCTGTTACTGTCCACTTCAGGCATCCGGACGGGAAAGAAATAATGCTGAATTCCACTGATGCTACAGAACTAGGCTTAACCAATCAAGGTCTGCTACATAAATCCCCCTCGGCTTGGTTTGTTGGGTCTGTGGCTTCAGGCTAGTAACACCAGAGTAGTCTGTAAAACAGTGGTTTCAAGTACTGTGATGTATTTAAGAGCAGCTGCATTTTAGTCTGGGAGTTATTTGCTAAAGACAAGTTCTCAAAGGGGTTGATGGGACAAACCACCTTGAGTTTCACTTGGTGAAAAGCTACATATGTTGCCAGGGTTCTTAAAGTTCCAAAGGCAACACAGTTGAAAGTTATGGATAGTGTGAAGGTGTTTACTGTGTCTGCAGTAGCTTCCTCTTCTGCCAGGAATGCACACTGTCCGAGCTACAGCACCCGAAGTTTGCTGTCATCTTTTGCATACTTGTTTCCCCATAAGTGTCTCTCATAAAACCTGGTGGAACTTGTGTTGCAGCTCTCTGCAGAGTTCCCTGATGCCTTTGGGAGTATAGTCTGCAGTGCAAACAGGTGCCCACGTGTTCAGGGCAACGTGTCCGTGAGAGACCCAGGATGAGCTATCTGGGTTATTGTATTAGTTCCAGGCTTAGGTGTTTCTCTAGGACAGCAAGGAATATCTTATTGGGGGACTGTTTCAGTACTAATTTTTTTTTTTCCGACTTTGCAGGGAATGAAGCTCATGTTTGGGTTCTTCCGGTGCTTCTGATTGGTTTCAGTTTGCTAGTAGGTGTTGCTATTGTTGTTGCTGTTGTTAAAAAGCTGAAGTGTAATAAAGGTAACTCCTTGATTATTATCCATGAAATTTGCTTTCTAGAGTTAGGCAAAGCATGCACCAGGGCTGTCCCTGGTTCTTGTGTTGCCTTAAAGGGGACCTGTTTAAGCTCTAGTTCATTTTGCACATGATTGAAATTAGCAAATTAGTCAAGTGAAGAGCATTTTTGCTTGGTAAATAAAATGCATAATTCTTAACTATGAGCTTTCTTATCTTGCTGACAGATGCCTCTGCTTCAAAGCAAGATTAACTTAAGGTCCTTAAAAAGGACTTCTCCAGTCAACTTGCCTTGTATTGGCCAAGAGGAAAAACCTGTGTGGGGGTTCCCATGCATGGGGCAAAATGTAGCAACTAATTAGATCACTAATTACTTTCACTGTGTTTGATTGTAGAGATTTTTTTTTTGGTGCAAATTGGTTCCCTTTAGTAATTTGAACCTCTTAATGTGAATGTTGGGTTGATAAATTCACACAGGATTTATTTTTTAGTGGAAACTAAGCTGTTTTCCTTGGAGACTTCTATTTCCACTATTGTGTTTTAAAGTATTTTTGCTGCTATAAATAATACTGAAAACTATTATGAATCTTAAATGCTAAGTTTGTTGAAATCATGTCTTACTGACTGTATTGCAGTAAAGACAATTTTTGTCTTCTGTATTGCAATAGCCTACAAAATGCTGAGAAACAAAAGCTGGAGTAGGGGAGGTTGAAAGAGTGGCTTAAAGCATCAGACAGCATCTTGTGGTCTGCATTTTACTGAGCAGGATTAAGGCACAGTGTGCTGTTGAGTGAAGCTAAGGGTAGTACTGGGCTGAAATGTATGACAAGTTAAAGAAACTAAATGGCTTTTAAAAGCTTTGGCTGTGTTACAAAAGTTTCTATTGTGTGTAAGTCGTGTGTTATTTCAGCCATGTTTAAGTTTCTGCAATTCCTATAAGTTTCTCAGACACTTATTTTGTTTTTCAGCTGTCTCAACTGTTAAAGATGTAGAGGGACGTCTGGTAAGTATGTGATGGACCAAGTGTTTTATCTCAGTCTAATTGCTCACAGCCTAATTGTACCTGACACACAGCCCTCCATGTTTGTCCCCCTGTAGATCTCTGATAGGATGTGTTCCTGTGATGCAACAAGTTGTGATTTATACAAGGTCAGAAATCAATTAGCAAGTGTCTGATGCATTCAATAGCTGCATGTGTCTGCTGCAGTTGGCCTTGTTAATACTGGAAAACACTTCAGAGCCTGTGACCAGGATGCTTTGGAAGTGGGGAAAAAACTTGAACTAGCTGCACGTTTTCACTTCAGACTGTCTCCAGGGGATATGTTAATCAAATTAATTTCTTTTTTGCCGCTTCACATGCGTATTCCCCAACTGATGGCAGCTCTTGTTTGGTGTTGCAGCATGGTGGTGTTCCAGCTCTCATTGCATTGTGACTACAAATTATTTGTTTGTAAGCCTTAACCACTCCTGATCCAGTAAAGTGATTGAGTCTTCCTGCCTTGGGGCTCATGTCACAAGCTACAGACCAGGACCTGACAGTCTGAATTCTTGGTCCTAAGCAGTCCCAAAAGAGGAGGGGTTCAGGGCTCAGAGCATGCCAGTCTCAGAGTACATCCCTAAAAGGGTTTATCCAGCTGAGGCTGGCATAGGTTGTGACTTGAAGCTGGGTATACCCTGGCATCCTGTAGCCAAACACTATTTCAGAACCTTACTGTTTGAGTCTGAAAAAACCTCTTGCTAGTCCAGCATTCTGCAAGATAAATACTAAGCTGGGTGAAGCAAATATAAACTGGCTTTAACTTCTCTAGTTAGAAACCACATCACTACCAGCCCTGGAAAGGGAAAAATGAGCTCAGTCTTAGCTTTAAACAACAAATGTTAGTCTTGATGAGCGACTAGGAAAAATATCCAGACTGTTCTCGGTGTGTGTACAGCTCTGCTTTTCTTCCTGGAGCTTGTCTTGTCCCTCACCAGAGCATTACCCACCCAGTGTACGTGCTCTTGTCTAATGTTACTAATTAGACATTTTGAGTAATTAAATGCATCTTAATAATGCCAAAAATACTTGAAGACTGAAAAAACAGAATTGAAAGAGATGTTAAAAGGCTCACCTGAAACTCTGCTCTTTAAGGTCCATAAGTGGCTCAAATATGTGAAACACCCCAGGTTTTTTGTTGGGTTGTGTCTCCCCTCACGCCCTGGCAAGATTTGCAGCACTTCATCCTTTTGTAGAAGCTGATGAAGAAACGTTACAAAAAACCTGGTCAAAATGCTGTAGCATAGGAATAGCAACTATAACAGGTCTTTAATTTCAATAAAATAGTTGCAGAATGATGCATTTACAGATTGGTGCATGATGCGCTTGTCTCTCATCTAAGAGCTGTCACAGGCAGGTGCAAAGTCTGCACTTGGAGTGCTCATGCTGCTGTAAGAGCTTATTTGCTAAGGAGAGTTACACTCATGCAGTCCTGAGACTATTTTGGCATCTACACAGCTTCCCTTCCAAAGAGCCAGTGAATTCATACTGCTCTAATGCCCCCAACAACTGCTGATACTTGAATAGCTGATGCTGGGTTTTGAAACAAGTGTCAGCCACGATGGTGCTCTTTCAGTCATTTGTTTGCCTGCTTAAGAATTATCCTGTGTAAATAAGATCAACTTCTTTAATGTGTTTATACCCTTAAACAGCAAGTGTTTTCAGTGAGAATGATGTACAACTACCTGTTTCATATGTAGGGGGGTTCCCCCTCACATCCCCGCTTATGCATGTTGGTCGTGGGGTGGTGTCGCCTGTGGGTCACTGTGCAAGCAGAAAACATGCTGGCCTATGCTTACAAAGGGCTTGTACCTTAATAAACATGAGTCTCAGGGGCAGAATGCTTCATCCTCGTTCTTCACATATAAAAAAATATTCCTAAAGCTTGCCAGCTTCAGCACTGCCTGTCCTGTGAGACATACTACTTTGCTTTGTGCTTGTACTGTTCATGCTGACCTGGTGCTGTACATCCTGGCTATGCTTGTTTAATGAATTGACAATGCCAAAAATGATGGGAGCCTTTCTTGCTGGCTTCCCTCTTCCTCCCCTCACAAAAACAATGCAATGTACGTGGGTGCTCACTGGCTTCATTCAACTGATTATAGTTTGTGCACCCACCTGGAAAGTTAATCCAGCCCTAGACAGCCCAAGGTAGTGCACTGCCTTGGAGCTGACCGGCTGCTTGGCAACAATTTTGAGCATCAGCCTTGACACAGCAATAGGCTTGGGGCTCCTGGTGCTGTTTAGTCATCCTAGGTGCAGCAAGGCAGTTTAATTCCCTCCTGTCTTAGGAGGGGTTCCTGCCTTCTGTACCTAGAGAGGAGCAAGCAGCAATCCACATCAGTAGGAACATTAGAGAAAGTTTCCCGTGGTTGTTGTGGAGGTAACTTGTGTGCCTTACCCTGCAGTCTGGTGGGTGCAGAGCAGCCAGGGAGGTGGAGAGTTGGGCTCTAAAATCATTTTGTCACAATCTGCTAGTACAAGTGAGGGTCACGATGGTTTGTTTTACTGATCTCAGAATGCAAAAGACACACAGCAGGGGACTTGCAATATTAATCAAAACAGATGCACCTTTTCTTGAGTACCCTCAGCAAATGTGATAGAAGGATTAGAAAGTAGATAAATGATAGAGAGAAAGAGAAAAGGGGTGGGGAGCAAGTAGTTACCAACAGATAAACTAAATCCTTGTGGTCCAGCCAATAGATCTGTCTTGTCATGTTGGGGAGATATCTCAAAGTCCTTGGTTAACTCAGGGGTCTTTTATAGTCTTATGTTGAGGGAACAGGTATAGGACAGTGGTGAATAAGTCCATTGAGAACAAGTACAGACAGTCTAGTTCTGAACAGGACAATTCAGTCCCAGCAGTGAGCAGGACCCGTTGTTTCAGGACTGGTTCCCATGGGAAATCAGTCTTTGTCCAGCAGACACACCTGCAGGCAACACTTGGCAGACATCCCACTTCAGCCAGCCCAGCACCCCTGTGTTAGAATTTTAAGGGTCTCAGTCCTTGGGGCAGCTTCAATCTCCATCCTTGATGGTGGTTGTGAGGCAAATGAGGGATGTTCTGTGGGGGATCACCAAAGTTACTCCAGAAAGTCAGTCTTTTTCTAAAGCGGGTGGCACCTGGCCAGGAGGTGGGGAAATCCACGGGCTGTTGTGATGAGCAGGTGTTGTGAAGCAGCTGTAAGCACATGAAGAGAGCTGCTCCTTCCAGCCCCTGCCTAAGCAGTGTGCCATGGTGACACAGCAAGCACACCTGCAGACTTGGTGAGCATCCCTCTCAGCCAAGCCAGGACTCCAGGCAGGGTCTGCAGGGTCTTAGTCTCTGTCCTTGCAAAGGTCTTGAGGCAAGTAAGGGAAACTTTGGAGCTTATGAGTCTAGTTCTGTAAAGGCTGTTACTTGCCAAATTATCAGCTCTCCTTTTATGTCTCTGACATCTGGTGACTTCAAGTATTTCCTTTTCTTCCCCCAGAAGAAAATAGTGGAAAATAGTGTGGTTTCTGAGCCAGGCACTGTCCAGTGCAGGAGCTGGAAGTGCCATATGGCAGCGTGGTTGAGGATGATTGCGAAGTTCTCATTGGCAGCAAAACCTGTTCAGAATTCTGCTTTTCAGCAGACTGCCTTATCTAATGTTCCAAGTGGAACTCCAGCAAATTGTAAGATAAGAGTATGTGTGTGAAATGATCATTGTATTTTCTCTAATACCGGTATCCCTTTAGTTGAGCTCGTAACTATTCCTAGAGCTTTCAGCAAAACAATACTGGAAATTTTGCCTTAAAGATGTAATAGGAAGTATGGGAAGTGATAGTTTGGGGGAAAAAACCTTCAATCCCTCATTTAATTTACTCTGCCTCTTTCATCTCCCTGACAGAAGCTACTCTTTTGTGATAGCAGCAAATCTATGTTGCCTTGGAGCCAGTAGTGTTTGTTTGTTTCACCATGCAATTTTCCTTACTCCAGTACTTTCAGGTCTGCTCTGAAATCTGCTGCCCGTCCCCTCTTTGCTGTGTGTGATGTAAAAGTAAGCTGTCAATTTAGGTAAAAAATAATAATGAAGCACCCTGATTTGTTGGAGTAATGGTCCAACTTTGTATTACAGGTACAAGAACCTAGTCAGATAATTGTTGAAGATCTCTCTCAACGTGGTAAGTGTTCCATAAATTGGCAGTACTTGGATTTGATTTTTATTCCTGTTGACTTTAGTCTCCTTAAAGAGTAGTATAAAGAGGCTAATAAATTTTGCATGGAGCTATAACGCTTCCAGTGTATTGTAAAATATGCTGAAACAGGATTATTGCTGTATTTGTAATCCCTGTGGTGAGCTGTTCTACTTTGGAGCATGACTTTTCTGCATGGGAGTGTAGCACAGTCATGAGTTTAAGAATAACAATGGTACAAATTTTTGGAAAATGTTTTAAAATGAGTCTGCATTGCAGCAGTGTACTCTGCTTTACTGAGTGAGGTGTAGGTCAGAGTGAGAGATGCCACATGTCCCCTCACATGGAAGGGGGACCTCGGTACACCCACCTGTACCCAGCAAATTGTTGTGCTGGGTGTCCAAGCGATGGGTTTTGCTCGTGGTGGTCTTGGTGGGGCAAACCCATGGCAGCAGCACAGTGGAGTGGTTAAAACTTCCTCTTCAGTAGCCCTGCCAAGGGAACGTGCCAGCCAATGAAGCCTTCTTCAAAACCCCCTTTACTGGATGGTGTCCTGCCTTAGGAGACCACTTCTGAGAAGTGCACTGATACCTTTAGCTACTTTCAAGACCACTTAGTAGAAAACTTATTTGTCCTGCTGCTTCTTAGGTGCCAAACGCTGCCTTGCTGCTGCTGTTTGGTCTGTGCAGGTGTTGGCTGAAAATTAAGGGCAAAGCATGTATGTGAGCTATGGGGAAAAAAAAAACAACCCCTGTGTTTTAAAACAAGCTGATGTGTGTTTCTTCTTGCAGAACCGAGAGAGACCTTTGATGTCTTTACAAAGGAAGCACCACCACAACAGTGGAAGCAGCTTATGAGAACTCTTCTACAGAAAAATGATACTGATAAAATTATTTCTAAATTTTCTAATAACGTAGAAGAACACTAATATCAGATGCTTCTCATCTGGAAAAAACAGACTGGGAAAGAAACAATGATTATTAATTTACTGGATGCATTGATGCACATAGATACCAAGGCTTGTTACAGTGTATCAAACACTTTAAAAATAATAATACTATAAGTAAAGTAGAAGCTGAAGATGGATGTTTATGAGGAACTGCAGAAATGTTCCTGTTTACATATGTGTGTCTTCAGACTTTCTTTAAAGGAGAGTGTCAGAAACTGCTAGTAGAAACGGAGTTGACAGCCTCCTCACCTCAGGGAGATAGCAGGAAGGAATGTAACAGCTATGTTGTTTTCACGTTTACATGACCTTCCTACCTCCGAGTCTTAAAATATTCAACACAGGTGCTGGATGCCCACTTCGGAGCCAGGAGCTCGGGCATCCCTTGGTTTGTGAAATGCTGTCCCAGCCTGGGGACGGGGACCAAGAGCCCACTGCTGTTTTTGTGTACTGTGATGCTTTAGTTTCCGGAACCATTTTCTTTTGTATCTGTCTGCTCAGCACCGCTATGTTCGAACACAGCAATAAAAGCCTGGCTCAGACAGAAGCTGCCTCTGGGACTTTGTTCTGGCGGCGCCGCCTCCATCTTCGGGGCTGTTTAAGGAAAGGCGGGGGGGGCTCGGTTGGCACGGTGCTGTTGGGTGACGGGGTGGCCGCGGTGCCCGGGGCCAGCATTGCCGGACCGTGAGGGGCCGTGAGGGGCCGACGGGGCCGGACCGTGTGGGGCCGAGCCGTGA